TAACGAAAAACCATATTTTTACCCTAAAAAATCAATACTGATACTATTCACTTTACCCTTTATTTTGTCCTTATCATTAAAACTCAAAGTTTTCAAACATTTTTCATTAGTTTTTCTTTTTTTAATATGATCCGAACATTGTCTCTGCCAAGTGATTTGAGTTATTTAAAGTAATGAAGTTCTTTCATGATACAAGTCAGCTTCCTTTGTTTGATTAGTTGTTGACTAGTGAAATTTCATTGTTTGATTATTTAGGTGGTGGTCACTCATGCCTACAACAATCGTTCTGGTGTGAGATATATGACAGGTGGTCTGAAAGTGTATTATGTATGGAAACCATTTCTCATGCAGAATACTTTTCCCACCTTTTATGGGACACTTCCAATTGTAAGGACTATCCTTATTCGAGAAAAAATATCGCTGGTCCACGGACATCAAGCTTTCTCAACTCTTTGCCATGAGGCTTTGATGCACGCACGCACAATGGGGTACAAAGTCGTATTTACTGATCATTCACTCTATGGTTTTGCTGATGCCGGAAGCATACACATGAACAAGGTATTGCAGTTTACTTTGGCAGAAGTAAGTCAGGCCATTTGTGTTTCTCATACAAGCAAGGAAAACACAGTGCTAAGGTCAGGTTTGCCACCTGAAAAGGTCTTTGTAATACCTAATGCAGTTGACACAGCTATGTTCAAGCCTGCACCCGAACGACTGAGTAGTCATGAAATTGTAATTGTTGTTATAAGTAGATTGGTTTACCGAAAGGGTGCAGATCTACTTGTTGAAGTAATTCCAGAAGTATGCCGTTTATATCCCAATGTGAGTATTTTAACATGGCATTAGATGAAATATTGCATTTCTAATATTTTCCCTATTTGTGTATTGAAATGTTCATAGATTCATAACTTGTCAGCATTACCTGTAAAACAATTTTGGTGCATGAAGCTGTAACCTAAAGGGAATGCTTTTATTATAACGAAAATGTTGAGGGTAGTTCGAAATTTGAACCGTAGCATTATTGGATGTAATTATTGGCATAGTTATTTAGCACTCAATCATCTCATTCAGAAATGTGTGGTTAGGTTCGTTTCATTGTTGGAGGAGATGGACCTAAACGTGTGAGGTTGGAAGAAATGAGGGAAAAACATTCTCTTCAAGATCGAGTTGAAATGCTAGGTGCCGTGCAACACTCTAAAGTACGATCCGTCCTAATTTCTGGCCATATATTCTTAAACAGGTACGTGTCAATATATTCTTTCACATGATTCCTCTCCTTTCAACTGGAGGGCAGTTTCTCTAATTTCTTTTGTTTGTGAAAAAAAATTAAATTGTTGGGATTTGGTCGTTTACTTTAACCGCTAGTCAAATTGGCTCTCTCTTTAATAGAAATATCACAACAGCTATAATTTGATTCTATCTGAAGTTGAACAGTGGTGTTTCCAAAGGCGCTGATCCTATCAACAAATTGAAACATGAGTAAATTAGGAGCTGCAATAGCATGCAAATACATCGTAGCATAGTTCTTTTTCTGACTAGCTTGTTTTTTCTGACTGGCTTACCATGGAAACTATGGAGAAACGCCACTCAGGCCAATAGTTGTGACTGGCATAGTTCTCATGTATTTGCTTCTGTTGTATGTTTTCCTGATGCGGATTTTACCCTTATTGCAGTTCTTTAACAGAAGCTTTTTGCATAGCGATCTTAGAGGCTGCCAGTTGTGGATTATTAACAGTCAGTACACGTGTAGGAGGTGTCCCAGAGGTATGAAATGTGAAATCTTCCACCTCTTAGTAGAATAGTGTTTGTGGATCTGGACCTTTTAGAGCTTTTAGCTAACCTCATTTGTGTACATAGGTACTTCCAGATGACATGGTTGTACTTGCAAAACCAGATCCTAGTGATATGGTTCAAGCAATAGAGAAGGCAATATCTATACTTCCTACAATCGACCCACAAGAAATGCACAATCGTGTGAGTGCACTCTTTCATTGATTGTGATCTTTAGACAAAGATTACTACTTGTACAGTGGTTAAAATGTGCTTCTTCGTTTCTAGATGAAGGAACTGTACAATTGGCATGATGTGGCGAAACGGACAGAAATTGTTTATGACCGTGCGTTGAAATGCTCAAATCAAAATCTTTTACAGCGACTCTCACGGTGTGTTTTCAGAATTTACATCTAAATTGCATACTCATAGAGATGTTTGGCTGAGTCTGGTTATTATAACAAATTCATTGTGCATAGAAATGTGATCATCTATTCTCTTCATCACATCAATTGCTGTAAAAGCAGAGTGATCTGCTCGAGTTTTTCTTCATCATTTGGGGTGAAAAGGATGCACCAGTGGTTATTTTTGCATCCCAAAGGCTGAATGTTGTATCTCTAGATCCATTAGCTTAATAGTGATTGCAAACATAGGAGAGGGTGTTTGTGTACTTTCTTGTTATAAAATGTGACACCGGTTTTTAGTTAAGCTGCCTTAATTGGATGGCAAGACGTAAACTTGATCAGGAGGCAGTGATGGATTTAGAACTTCGTGTCATTATTCATCCATCTTGATGTCTCGAGAATGCAGAAACATCTTAGGGGCAAGGGTTGCTAATTACTTAATTTGTTTATTGTAGATACCTCTCGTGTGGAGCTTGGGCTGGAAAGATTTTCTGCTTGGTTATGATCATTGACTTTCTGTTATGGCATCTGTTGCAACTATGGAAGGTTGTAAAGTTTCTGTGCAAGTTCTTTGAATTTCCGCGTTAACACGATTTCCGTTTTTAATTACCTTCCTTTCATTGTCCATCAGCCTGAAGAGGATATTGAAGAGGTGCCCGATTTCGTTCTGTCCCATGATCAAGATGAAGGGATCTCGCTGGACAATGCGAACCACAGCTCGAGATGACTGCATTCCAGATTGACATTTTTTATTATTTTCCTTTATTATTTTTTGGTAGGGATGCATAGGATTGACCTGATTCTTCTTTATGTTGATTTCAGTTGGTAGCATCAGTTTAGTCCTTGCATGTAATCAATTTTGTTCAAGATTTCGAACTTACAAGACATAAAAGATGATTGTCTGTCGCTTGTATCGCAACTTTCTTACAAGTTTTGATGGATATTTTATATTTGGAAGTTTATATAGCACCAAACTTGAAGAATTGGTACTTTTGATGAGCTACTCTAATTTATAGGGCTAGAGATTCGACGCTGGTGTAAGGGGACGAAAACGTTGCCTTGGCTAATTGGCCTGATTTACACTCACAAATTTATAAACTTGTAACTAATATAGAATTACATGATGTTACTAATTCACGTGTTATAAACTTATAGTATGAATAAATGACAAATTAGATATTGTACAAGCTTAGGTGTTCAAAGTTGCTTGGTAATGCATCATGGTTTCTAGGCGATTTTGGAAATTTGTGAAAAAAATCATTTTAAAATCTACTTGCTTTCACTCTCACCGTACCGTGAGGTATTGAAAATTTATGTAAGACTTTTTGTTGATTTTGAGATAGACTGGAGGATGATTATGTTTTCCCGGTGGTTGAGGTGGGTGTGCCCAGAGGATTTTTGGAAATTCAAATTTTAATGAAAAGTTAACAGTGTTATTTTTGTTAAGTTGAAAAGACACATGTCAATCAATTAGAAAAGAGAAAACGAGAAGACACAAAATTTAGGAACAACAAACTTGTGGCCGTATCATTAAACAACTAGTAATATAATTGTGTTAAAAATTTAACAACTTAAAAAATAAAAGGGCAAAAGACAGTTTACTACCATTATGTTTAGTGATTTTCAACATTTAGTACATCAATTTTTTTTTTCATCCCAAAGTCATACCTAAAGTGTAAATTTTGGGACAGTCTCATACATCCGTTAGTCAAACTATTAGTTCTCCTGTTAAGTGATGATGTGGCACTCTGATTGTGCACCACGTGTCATTAAAAAAATATTAAAAATTTATTTAAATAAAAATAATATTAAATAATATTTAAAATATTAAAATAAAAAAAATTAAATTTTTTTTTTTTTTTTCTTCTTCTCTTCTTCTTCTTTTCTTCTTCTTTCTTCTTCTTTTCTTCTTCTGGGTTCGGTTTCTCTTTTTTTTTTTTTTTTTTTCTTCTTCCTCCTCCTTCTCCTTATTCCTCCTCCTTCTTCCTTCTTCTTCCTCTTCTTTTCCGAGTTCGGTTGTTTTTTTTTTTTCCTTCTCCTCCTTCTTCTTCTTCCTTCTTCATTCTTCTTCCTTCTTCTTCCTCTTCTTCTTCTCGATTCAGTTTTTTTTTTTCTTTCTTCTTCTTCTTCTCCTCCTCCTCCTCCTCCTCCTTCTTCCTTCTTCTTCTTATTCTTCCTCCTTCTGGATTCGATTTTTTTTTCCTTTCTTTCTTCTTCTTCTGCTCCTCCTCCTTCTTTTTCCTCCTTTTTCTGGGTTCGGGTATTATGTTTTTTTCTTCTCTTCCTCCTCCTTCTCCTTCTTTGCAGGTGGGTTTTTTTTTTTTATAAATATTATTGAGGATGAAGAAGAAGGAGAAGAAGGAGGAGGAGGAAGAAGAAGGAAGAAGAAGAAGAAGGAGAAGGAGGAGGAAGAAGAAAAAAAAAAAAAAAAGAGAGAAACCGAACCCAGAAGAAGAAAAAGAAGAAGAAGAGAAGAATAATTTTTTTTATTATTATTTTAATATTATTTTTATTTAAATAAAATTTTAATGACATGTGGCGCCCAATCAGGGTGCCACATCATCACTTAACGGGAGAACTAACAGTTTGATTAACGGATGTATGAGATTGTCCCAAAATTTACACTTTAGTTATGACTCTGGGATGAAAAAAAATTGATGTACTAAATGTTGAAAACTACTAAACATGAAGGTAGTAAACTATCTTTTGCCCAAAATAAAACTTCACTCCACTTATATAATTACAATTTAATATCTGTCCATATTTCGAACACAATGAAAAATATCTAACATAAAGGTGGAATCAAACTTTCGAGAACAGAAATGAAGAGCCCACAAACTTTTTTCTTTTAAAAATAAGATAAGAAGGACAATGGCATTGGTACGTTGCAAGTAGGGTACGTGGAGCGAGCCTAGACAACCGTTGGCTTTCTGTCTTTCACAAGAATCAATCATCTATGTTCGCCATGTGAGCTTCATATCACAGACTCTCAGTGGACACTTCATCACTCTCTCTCTCTCTCTCTCTCTCTCTCATCAAAGCCATGGCAAGCACCAGCTCTCCCGCCCTGTCCTTGTCAAAACTGGATTTTCCACTATTTTCCTCTCAAAGAAAAATGCAAAATCTCCATCAAGTTAAGATTCCTCGCAGGTTGTCGAAGTTTTCTGGGGCTAAATCAAACGGGTTTGTCCTTTTTTCTTCACTGAATGGTCAAACTGGTGAGACCAGCCCTCCTAGTGTTGAAGCAACCACTTCAGTAAACAATGTGTCTGACGTCCAAGTTCAAAGCAGGTACCATATTTTCAGTTTCTCTTATTCGTTTGTTTCATGGTTCTGTTTGGTTTTACAAAGTAGGAATACCAGAAGCACTTGTGAAGTCCTTCGTTTCCGGTTTCTTGGGAACCAAACAGAACTTTGGGGATCAAATCATCAAATTATACGACTTTAATTTAGCTTAGTTAGGGAGCTGTAATTGGTACTCCGAAATAGCTCCACCCTAGGAAGGAGTGCATGACAACTATTTTGTAGGCCGTAAAAAGCCTTCGTACTAAATTTCTGAACAACCTTTGACTGAACTTGGTATAAATCATACTCCGATTTATGCATATTAAGTTTAATTGTGGTAAATCAGCATATATAGCGGTATGAACTGAAAAAAGATGAGACAGAAGGTAGCTGAATTTTAAAACATCGTATGCAAACTAAGTCGAACCATAGTAAATGGAACTCATATGAACTAGTAGAAGTGGGAAGAAAAGAGAAACTTGGATGAGTTGCCTCTGCCTCATGTTGGAATTCTAGTAAGACTTGAACCCGGAGTTGCTCGTGAACCCGGATCGAGTTGCTCGTATGCTTTTATAAAGCTTGTGTTCTTGATCCCCCACTTGATATATGACGCAATATAGGTTCCGCTAATGAGAGTTGAACACAGATGTTGCCTTAAAGAGTATTCCAGATTCGGTTGCCATTGCATTGTATCTTTGATCCTTTAATTCATGAGAATTGTAATTGATATGAATTATTTGAAATTTTTATGAATATATTTCTAATGCTATCTTTCTTCTGTGTGCCGTAGTATATGGAACTGGAGGGGTTATTCTATCCGATATCAGCATGCTGGCAACAGTGGCCCGGCATTAGTTTTGATTCATGGTTTTGGAGCAAACAGGTCCACATCATCCACATATTACTTCTCATAAGCAGACAACTAATTGCTATAGGTATTACATGCACAAATTGCTAATTACAGTCATGATTTCACACACACGGAGACAAGAGACATATCTCTTTTTGTTAGCTCGACGCATGGTTTGAGGTTTCATTAAATTTACTTGTACATGGTTTTACTGTTTACATTGGTTGCCTGTTAGTTTGCTGGTAGGATTATTTTGTACACAACTGGGAGAGAGTTATTTCTTTGCTAACTAGATTTAATAAGTCAGATCGTTAGCTGATGAAACTGTCGGTAATGCTTAAGAACAAACCAACAGACCAAACTCTGAATTTCTGGGTTTTGTTGCAATCTAGAACTTAAACCCTCATCTTGTCCATGATCTCTTTCATCCCATGCTTTAACCTGTCAAGTTCGGTACATATGACATGCATTTTATCCTTTACAGTGATCATTGGAGGAAAAATCTTCCAGTTCTTTCAAAATCACACAGGGTATACTCTATCGATCTTATTGGTTATGGGTACTCAGACAAACCAAATCCTCGTCAATTCGGGGAAACTTTGTTTTATACATTTGAGACATGGGCCACCCAGCTAAATGATTTTTGTACTGACGTTGTCAAGGGTGAAGCATTCTTTATATGCAACTCTATCGGAGGTACAGATATTTGGAGCCCTTGATCTTTCTGAACTTTTTCTTTTGAATGATATCAAAAAAGATCTAACCTTACAAGTGCTTTTCATGGCTTCACATAGGACTTGTCGGTCTTCAGGCAGCAGTTATGGAGCCACAGTTATGCAAGGGCATAATGCTTTTGAATATTTCTCTTCGTATGCTGCATATTACAAAGCAGCCTTGGTGCGGGAGACCATTGATCAAATCCTTTCAGAACTTGCTGAGGTAAAGGCGGATTAAATAGTTTGTTTTCCATATTAGAGTTCTATAGTGTAAAAAAGGATTTCAAGATAGTCATGCTGTTGTGACAGAAATACTGATGTGGGCAAATACTTCTTCAAAACTGTTGCCACACCACAATCTGTCAGGAATATCCTTTTTTAGTTTCATTTTGGATGCAAATATTTCTTCTTTTTGTTAGATTATGTCATGGAAGCTTCAGGTGGAGTTTTTTTTCACAGTAAGTAGAATAGAAAAGGAAGGCCATGCCCATAAATGAAACTATGACACAATTATCTAATCTGCCTCACCAAATGACACTGTCTGTTTTGTCCATGCATTTTTATGTCACCCATAAATGAAATAGGGATTACAGACTTGGACTATTAATCGGTAGTGGGTATATATGCGTTTCATTTAGTGGTTCGCATTACTAATATCAATTCCATGTCTACAATCTCCTCATTTCTTTTTGGTTAAACAGGGTTTGGTGCAGTGAATTAGTGGAGCATTCAAACAAAAATACAAACAGAAATACTACATTACTAAGGTATTTCCCTCATTTCATTACCGAGGTATTCCCCTATTCATTCTTAATTTTGTTAGATGGTACACAATCGCACAGCATGTTTAATATTTACTTTGAATGTCGTCAAAGGCATCACCTTTTTATGCCTACTGTCTTAACTTTGGTTAGGGTGGTATATGTTTGGCTTGGGGTAGTTGTGGGAGGTTACTGAATATGTTTAATTCCCGTTTTCAAATTTTAATGCAATTCAATTACAAATAATGCTAATATTTGATTCCCGTGACTTTAGCAGTCTCGACGACTGTCTCACGAAATTCAGCACCGCCGGTACGCCGCCGTGGTTGCTCTTCAGAGCACCAAAACGTCCAGACCCAAAGCCCGCCCCTTCTCTCTGACGCTCTCACCGGTTATGCGAGGCAAGGTATTAATCACAAACTTTACAAGTACATGCTTAGTATTCTGCAATACACCTCTTGCCTTTGGCTTGGTTTCCGTTGTGTGTCTCCAAACATTTTAGTAATTTTACACTCCATTCAGAAATTCACTCGCTGTTTACATTTTGAATGCAGTCTAACTATTTGTGAAAAGTTGCGAGTGGCAGGTGGGTTGGAGACTTTCGAGTTTCCAGTTCATTTTTTTAGATGAATTATGGTGCTGAGGTGTAGTGGGAGGCACTGAGTCTGAGGGGGAAGATGCTTAATCGGTTAAGTCGGCTGTTGCTTTTGCACTGCTGCTCCGAGAATAAATTGAAGACACAAACTAATACGTACCTTGTAGCGCTTTGTGGACCAGTCACAAGCGGTGTTCCTTAGTCACCTGTACAAATTCTAATACAAGTTATAGATGCCCTTGACAATCTTGCATTGATCGATCATTTAAATTTACTAGGCATACTAGTTAAATTACAAGGAGTTATAAACTCGGCCAAAAAAACAATGGAAAAGGTTAATCAAAAGTTCTTTGATGAGGAAACCATCATCATCCTACACAAGCACAAATGTTAAGCTTTCTCTTAGCAGTCATCAAGATAAACCGTATGTATTGAAAATTTGAAGTTGTCGTCTACAATATAAACAGTAAGCAGAAACAATCAAAAAACAATAATAAAATCTTATCCCACTAAATGGTGTACAATATAAACAGTAAGCAATAAAACAAAAAAATAATTATGAAAATTAAGGCATCTAAGACCATCTCCAAAGGAGATGTCAAATCCTAGGTGGAATTCCATATAATCAAACTTGAAGGTAGAAGTGAGCTCCAACCGATATGTCAATCTTATGTGTATTGACATATGAGAAAATATGATGTCAATTTTTTTTTAAATTATTTTATTATGTGGGTCCTATTAATGCACCAATTATAGATCTTGAAAAACGTATTTTAATTGATTTCTTTAAGATGGGTCTTACAAATATCATTTATGACAAAGAAACATATCGGTTGGAAAAAGAGAAAATTTGACATTGCCACATCAAATGTAATTACACCCTTCTAAATTACTTATTCTGATTCACATTACTTATTTCTTGCATGTAATTAATTTTGTTCAAGATTTCGAATATACAAGACATAAAAGGTCATTGTCTGTCGCTTGTATCGCAACTTTCTTACAAGTTTTGATGGATATTTTATATTTGAAAGTTTATATAGCACCAAACTTGAAGACTTAGTACTTTTCTTTTGATGAGCTATTCTAATTTATAGGTAGAGAGATTCGACGCTGGTGCTCCGAGGCCATGGCTATTTGTAGGCCATGGCGAAGTTTACTTTGATTACAGATTTCAAAGTCTCTAAAATCCTAATTGATTGTTTGTTAAAAAATCCTCATTGATTATCTGATTTTAAAGTCTTAATTTTTTTTTCAAATCTTAATTTAATTACACCCTTCTAAATTAAAGAGAAATTAGAATGTCTTGCAATTTTTCCATTTCAACGTATCTACGTAATTAATTGTAATAATTAATATTGTGTTCATGAATCAAATGTACTGAATATTCAACAGGATCCTTTTCGGATGCTTTTGATGAGAATCCTCTATGAATCGTGTCCATTCATTGTGCATTGTACGGTCAATTTTTATCAAGTACTGTTTGTATTTAATTTTAAATAAAAATATTTAAAATGAGATATGACCGCACGATATATGATGAACATACACGATTAATGGATACCTGAGATATTCATAAGGAGAATACGGAGACGATCCATTCTCACTGAACATTAGCAACAAGTACAATAACTTTCAGCGGCCCAAACCGAAAAAAAAAATTGAAATCAAGAACCACATTAAAAGTCAAACTTATCAGTAAAACTGTAAAAGAGAATCGTGTAAAGTGATGTTTCCTAAAATAAAGGCAATATTCCTTTATTGCCTTCCGTCATTTTCCTTGACTTCCGTCATTTTCCGTGACGTGAGGGATATACGCAATAGTTGGATCCTTCGATCGCCCTCCGACCTCTCTCCCACTTCTTTTTACTCTGCTTTTTCTCTTTTACCTGCCTAATTTGTTTCTTTCTCTGTCTGCTTGCTTCTGTTGTTTCCTGCGCTACACCGTAATCGCCGAAATGCCCAACAGGAAGCCAAGGGCCAGCCGAAGGGCACTCAAGGACAAAAACCCATCTGGAAATGCAGCCAATATCCTCGTAGGAAAGGTCTTGGATGCCGCTCCGAGCCCGATCCAAACACCATGGGACTCCAACCCAGAGAAGGAGAACCACGCGAGCCTCTCTCAGACTCGCACCTCCCCCAAGAAGTCAGCCAAAGCTGCGGCTTCTAAGAGACAGGCCAAGCAGAAGAAGACCCAACTGTCGTCATTCGAGAAAGAACTCGAAGAAATGCAAGAGAAGCTGCAAGCGATGAAGCTCGAGAAGGAGAAACCCTTTGAGCTCTTGAAGGAGAAGAATGAGATCTTGAAGACCAAGGAGGAAGATCTAGCAATGAAGGGCCGAGAGCAAGACAAGCTTCAGATGGAGTTGAAGAAGCTGCAGAAGCTCAAGGAGTTCAAACCCACCGTGGTCTGTTTCTTGATCCCCTTTCTTTTCTTCATTTGCGTCCTTATTTCTTCCTGTGTTGCATTATCCTCTGTTTGGATGCTGAGAAAATATATTATGGATCTGAAGTTTGGTTGGGTGATTCTTACTTTTGGGTTCTCAAATTTGTTTGGTTACTTGTCAATTGTAAAAAAAATAGAAAAAAAAATCCATGAGGGTTCTTATTTATATGTTCTTAGGGTTTTTGTTCTCGATCCCCTTTCCTGGAATTCGTAATTTTGGGATCCCAGCTTTTGCATACAATCTACTTTTGGGATCCCTCACGTGCAGGCTAACGGGAAAGGATTGAAGTTAAGTTTTGGGGCATAAATCCGAATAGATTTTACCACGATGGTTCAAATCCGAATTTTTTTACCACAGGATTATTATTCCGTATATATATCTCTCTCATGCAGTCGTTATCTTTGCAAGTAATTCTTTATTCAATTGGTTTTTATGATTTGGTCTTGGTTTATTTTTATGCTTGCAGTTCAAAATTTCATGCTCTTTTTTGTTTCCCTTCAGATGGAAATGGAAATGGATATGGATATGGTGAGGAGCAATCAGAGGAGATTGGGGCACTGCTGCATGAACAATGCAAGGCTGATGGAGCTCCCCATCGAAATCCTTGACAACATCTATTTGAGGCTACCCGTAAGCTGTCTTTTTACCCTCAGATGTGTCTCTAAGACATCAAAGAACATAGTCGACTGCCCTTGCTTTGTTACACAGCACATGCGACATTTACTTTCGGCACAATCTACTTTTGCTTCCGATCAGTTTATGCTTCTTCATCACCTTTTCTACGACTCTCTTTGTGGATTTGCCTTTACACCACTGAAATATGATGGCGTCAGCGCTGCCTTGAAGAGAAGCGAAGACTATGCAATCGTTTCTGATATTGTGTCCACAAAGATTGGTGTTTCTTATTCTTTGAGTTTTGTTTTCTACAACTTGTTTTTCTTTCGAGATCATGGCTATAGTCGTCAACCGTACAAGAAGAAAGAAAGAAGTCCATGCTTCTTATTCAATCCTTTAAAGGGAGAAGTTCTTCCACTCCCAACCACTGACATCCAATTTCCATATAGTTTTTATGGATCGTGCAAGGAATGGTATGGTATGGGATTTGATGATATAACCAGCACTTACAAGATTCTGTGTGTTTCTGGAGATGAAGATTCGACGAGATATCAACTTAGGGCCCAAATTTATGTACTAGGTACCGGCTCGTGGCGAGAGATACCCTCAGTCCCTCCTCGTAATTTGAGCAACAACCATGCATTTGCACATGGAGATCAGCATTGGTTGCTTTATTTACCTGATCACTCAAGTTATGATAATAGAAGAGTACTCGGTATATGTTCTTTTGACTATAAGAAAGAGGAGTTTTACTCGACTATTCCTCTTCCCGAGCACATGCAACGTAAGTATATTCCGCACTATATGGTCCTTTTGTCTCTACACTTGCTTAATCTTAAAGGATCTTTGGCCGTCGTGGACACTTTATCAGATGACTATATTGAGGTATGGGTGTTAAAGAACTATGATACAAAAGAATGGAGGCTAGATTACAAGATAGAAAACGCAATTGTCAGAGGCGAGCTTATTAACGTGACATGTTGTGAATGGAAGTATGGCATATTCTTCACTAAATCACAAGGGATGTCAGAAAGTAGAAGGATTACAATCTTTGTGGATTTTAGATGTGGCTCCATTAGTCATGTAAAGTTATTTCCACCCAAGCGCATCTGGAATACAAGCATCTTGAGCTATAATGGGACCTTAATGTCCCTAAAAAATTATGGGAAATTGGTGAGACCTGACCCTACTACTGGAAGCATCAGTGTCTAGTAACGGGAAATTTGCTGGCATTGTTTGATGCAGCTGCAACTGCAAGGTGAGGAAAACTTGGGATGTTGACGTTTTTATGGATCGTTCCATTGTAATGCTTTTATTGTTTTCCAGACTTGTGATTTGTTTTGTTTCTCATTTGATGTTGTGAGTGATGCAAACTATGGACATGGAAAGGTTATAAATTAGATAAGTCTGCTTTCATTTATGTTTTATATAAAAACTGTGTTTTATATAATTGGATTTTGAAAGATAATTGATTATATAAGCAAATGCTATGAACTATAAATTAAGAATTTCTTATAGATCTTCCAGAGAGAGCAACGTTTCAAACAATTTCATAGACTGAATAAAAAAAATAAAAAATACTGTCATGGAATTCGAAAACCACGGAAGAGCTTAAACCCTAAACCACAGAAGAGCCTTATCTGAGATGAAGAGTAAGGTCCGGTTCTGGTAGCACCCTGCTGATGTCGGTAAGAGTCATATTTGATGGGTCAAAGCTTCGCATGTCTTTAATGTCATCAGGCATTGCAATGAACACGGTCCAATGCAAAGCTATACTTGGGCAAGGCATGTAAATCTTTGCTTATGTTACTTTGTTTATTGTCATTTTTCATGTTTGTTTGTGAAGTTCAGGGAAGTTTGTTATTTCAGGTTTCGTGGGTGAAGCATTTTAATATTTTAGTATTTTTACACTCCGTTCAGAAGTTCACTCGCTGTTTACATTTCGAATGCAGTGTAACTGTTTGTGAAAAGTTGCGAGTGGCAGGTGGGTTGGAGACTTTCAAGTTTCCAGTTCATTTTTTTAGATGAATTATGGTGCTGAGGTGTAGTGGGAGGCACTGAGTCTGAGGGGGAAGGTGCTTAATCGGTTAAGTCGGCTGTTGCTTTTGCACTGCTGCTCCGAGGCCATGGCTATTTGTAGGTTTGGGCAATCCCGGCGATAAGTACGAAGGAACTAGGCACAATGTACTATTCCAGATTATACTTTTAGTGGCTACAATTTGAGATTTTTAGTTTTTGTGTTTGTTGTTTCGATACCAAGTTTCAGATTCTCATTTTTGTTTGTTTGAAGCAGGCGGGGTTTTAGATGATTGATGTGTTTGCGGGTTCGCAGGGCATTGCAATGAACACGGTCCAATGCAAAGCTATACTTGGGCAAGGCATGTAAATCCTTGCGTATGTTACTTTGTTTGTTGTCATTTTTCATGTTTGTTTGTGAAGTTCAGGGAAGTTTGTTATTTCAGGTTTCGTGGGTGAAGTTCTGGTTTTTCTTGCAAAGCCTCAAACTTAAATGAATTTGAGAGATGAATCTGTAAGTGACTGATATACTTAATTATGTTGTTGTACTTCTATTTGGAAAGGTTATTCATTTATCTAGCCTAGCTATTTATGTTTATTACTTCCACTGGGATTTCAATGAATATACTGAGATGGTATTTGTTCTGTTCATTTCATTCCTTCTAGCTCACTTCCAAACCCATTCGCAATTCATTAACTGCTTCACTTTTGTATGCTACGGGTTATGTAACTAATGTGACTAGAAGATATATCAGTGCATGGTTTAACTTGTACCTCTCTTTTGTTAAACTACAGACAGGACCCCTTGCTGCTTATTATAAGCTATCTCTCAATTCAAGGTTGGTCCCATTCAAGGTCAGTTTTCTTTATTAAATGTATAACAGTTCAATGCTTGGGTAAAGTAAAGAGTACGAATTTTTCACTTTCAAAATGAAGAAGGAAAATGATAGAAAGATAGAACTCCTATGTCATTTTGGTTCTTGGTGTGTTTTCAAATTTTTCCTTAGCTTCCCTGATTTTCCTTTTTTAACTTTATTTTTGTTTGTTTGGTTGGGTGATGCAATTTGATCAGATTTTGTTCAATTGAATAGTCCCTGAAGCAACAAGAAGGAACTGACTGCTGGGGTTTCTTTAGCAAGTAATAATTCTTAATTACTTACATGTTTTCATTTTAATTTATGATTGGATTGGTCCTTTCTCATATAAATTCGAGCTCCACAATAGTTGGACCATTGATATGTTCTGACTGTAAATACCATGCATTCTAAGTATGCTACCTAACTGGTCATGTGCTGGGACACTCACTTTGCATAAACAAATTGCAGTAGCACATACACGTGACGTAGCACTCCTACGAATGGTTGATATTTCAAATGCTAAAAATGCAGTCCATACATACTTCAATTATAGGCACTAATTTAATACATCTGTGATGAGCTCACGACCTTTTGATTTGATGAAACCATATGGCATATTACAGCTTCTTTCAACTTACTCTTTTAATTTATGATTGTGCTAATTTTTGTGTATTTTTTGAAGATCTCTTTTTTTTTTTTTTTTCTTCTCATTCAAATATGCACCACTAATTCTTTGTTATGTATGTAGCTCTATGTTTCCATTACCTGCTTGCATTTTCTACTTTTGCGTTTTTTTGTGTGGTGATTAAGTAATTTGTGATCGTGTTTGGTTAGGAAAGTGCAGAAAAAATGGGTGCCCTATAAATTTAGTAAAAATGCTAGAGAAAAAAAGGCAATCGCAATTGGCAGCTTACACCACGTTCGTAACTCAACGGAAAAACAGCCAGAAGTCTATAGTTGATCCGAAAGAGTGGCAGGTTTGACAATGGTCGCACTGAATGCATTTTTGCTCACTGTTTGAATCTGAAAATCTGTTAATTTTCCATTCAGGTTGAACCAAAAAGTCTCCTGGATGCACATTTTCTTAATAGCAATGTCTTTTGAGTAATGTTGAAGCAGGACATTGTATCTTTGAGAAAGTTTATGGTGTATAGTTTCTGCATTAATTTATTTTGGGAATAGTATATGTATTCATATATGGAGTTTCGTGATACATGCACCGGAAATTATACAGTATGCCATTAGCTTCAATGATTGAGATCATTAGCTTCAATTGTTGAGTTTTTGAAAAGCCTTTTGCATTGCAAGGAAATTTTTTTTTACAGTCTTTTGGAAGTGACCTTAGACCATCTCCAACCCTTGGGCTAAAAGCCACATTTTTTAGCCCGGAAAATTTACCTTTTAGCCCAGAAACAGCTTTTCTGCTCCAACTCTTCTAGCTTAAATTTTTAGCCCGGGATTATTAAAGAATGAACTTAGGCTAATTTTTTTTCTTAAATTTTTTTTTTAATAAATATGTAGACTATTGTAAATTAATTTTATGAACATTTTAATCTAAAAATATTTAAATTCCGATAAATATGGAAAAATCACTAAATTTTCCACAATGCAAGCCTTCAACATAGGTATTTATAGAGTTTTTGGGTGAATTTTGAGTTAAATATATTTTTTTAATTATTTTGGCCGTTGGATTTAAATTTGGGTCATTAGATCTTTTTTTTACCGTTAAATTTGATTATATTCGATCTCAGCCGTTAGATTCAATGTATTTTAAAATAACATATTTAAAAAAAAATTGAATCTGGACGTTGGATCAACCAACTGTCCTTAAATGATGGTCGTCCGATATGCAAAAGAGTTGTTGGGCTTGGGGAAGTGGCCGACATGGGCCCTACCAGTGGGCCCCACGCTATCGGGAAACAATTTCAAACCTACTGCGTGTGGCGCGTTGGCGTGTGGGCGGGCCGAGACTGGCCCAAGTTCCAGCGAGTCCACGCATTGGGGGGGGGGGTGGTATTTGGCCCAGCTTTAGCATTTGGCTTTTAGCCCAATGTTTTAGCTTGGGTTGGGTGGTGTTTGAGGGGGGGAATAAATGGAGTAATTTGGCTTTTAGCCCATGGTTGGAGAGCGTCTTAGCATTTATTGAGCCAAACAGAAAATTTTAATTTATATGTTAACCAATTTGTGAACATTGTAAGAAAAATTTATAAGTAATTACGAAGCGCTAACATAAGTGCTTTGTATTAAACTTTTAAGCTTGAAAATTAAGTAATAAAAACAAATTCAAGCAGGGCCCAGAGCATAGCTAGTGAGAAGGGAGTTTCGTTGATCATGACACTTTTGTAATTTCCGATCATGATCATAAATGAAGCTTTGATTAGGGCGAAAGTAACAAAAAAAAAAAAAGATTTTATGATGGCATTTTGTAGATAGTCGCAAAACAGATTAAAACCTGTGAGTTTCCAGCCAAAATATTTGTGAAAGAAGAAACCCTTTAGTTTTGACAAGATCTTTTCATTATATTGATAATGCACATGAACACCTTCTACTTGAGAAATTTCTCAAAAACTTCTATATTGGAGGATAGAAACCTTCCCTAGCTATTAGTTTGAAAACTTATGGTCATATCCCTCGTTTTGTTAATTGATTTTGAATTAAATGTTCACATTCAAATGTAAATATTCACATATTTAGTCCAACAACTCACGCATAAGTTGGTGTGTTGAAATGTTGATCTACTACAACAAAATGTGTTATGGGGCATTGATTTGAGGGCACCATTCCTTTTCAGTGGCTTTATAAACCTGATTGTCACTGTTGGTGTCAACTGTAACAATTTTGACACCAAAGACATATTAATTTGTTTTTCAACTTAGAACTAATTTTCTTGTTTTTATTTGATTGTCGCTCCATTGCAAGTTTGCAACCCACCACAAGTGTGAAAACATTTGGATTCATACCTCCACAACTTGAGGTTTCTCCTTTCATGGAATTTTTATGCTGTCATGAACGATCAAATTTTATCATTCGTTTTCGAAAATTTGGAGGCATCCCGCACTCTTACCATTTCCATTATGTCAATAACGATCGTTGCCTCCTTGCATGAAAAAAGCAGAAATGAATTAATAGCTTCTCATGCCGTAAAAAAAGTAATATTTTTGTCATTTTCTTTAAACTTTGGATGCATGCATGCTAGTATTTCATCATGTATATCATGAATTACTATTGGCTCGTATCCTGCTTAGATGAAAATTCAGCTGAAACCCTCATCAAATATGCTCAGAATATTCAACTAGGCACATAATTAAAGTTTTTTTTATAAATTTATATTATCATTATATAAAGAATAAGGCTAAAGTTTTTTTATTGATCCCTGCGGTGAGACACTACTTTTAATCCTATGGTGAAGTTCGTTATCAATAGTAGTCCAAATTGAATTTTTTGTCAAAATCTCATCCGCATGCAGGGGTAAAAAGGTCATTACAATCTTTTTCTTTTCTTTTTGGTAATTCCAATTTTTTACGATCAACAAAAGTATATACTATTTAATGCACATATTAATCTAGGAAATTGTTATTAGCACTCTAAAAATCTCATTTGTCATTCCAAACTTTCTATAATTATAAAAAAAATACACTTGTGAGGAGTGTAGAATGAGATTTTTGAAGTGCTAATAACAATTCCTTTAATCTATTCAACATTGGTCAAATAAACATTTATTCGACTGAACGAATCAACACCACTCGATGTACCAAAGGAGAGCTAAGTTTTTATTTTTCATTTAAAGTATTTGGCATCTTTTATTGTCAATTCAATAAAGGGCATATGTATCCAACAAAAGAAAAATAAATGATAAGCACACAACCTATGTAGTCTTTCACACTCCCCTTAATCTTGACTTTTATTTTTTTATAATTTTTTGAATTTGGTTGTTAAAAATAAACTTGAAATAAGTCCAAATTTGTAAGCAATTACTATATATTGTCCAATTTTATTTAATTATTGGTTTAAGTCCACTGACTCATTGTCCACGTCATTTTATTTTCATTTTTTGTCAAAATTACCCCTCTATTAACATTATCCATTAATTCTAGATTTACTTGTATTATGAAATTAATTATAATTGATTATTTATCATTAAAGTAATCTCATAATTGTAGGATTAGTTTGAAATAATCTTCCTCATAACTCCCGTACAAATAGTATTATTTTTTATGCGTGGTGGTCTTCTTACTCCTTGGAACCCATAACCGTGTATGTTCATGCTAGAACATTTAACCACAGGGCTAGGGAGAAAGCCTTCTAAACCATAACCGTGGGTGTTGATGTGTATATAATTGTAGGCTCTCACTATTAATTTCTTTCTTAGTTTTTTGTTTGTTTATATGAACTTTTCTTTTTATAAGTAAAAACGTTATAGCAAAAGCACTTTATTTATTTTGTTTATATACCTAATACATAGGTAGACGTAGAAAATAATTTTGTCTTTCTATAGAGTGAGTAAAATATATATGCTTTATAGGTATAAAGTATTATAATTGATTATTTGTCTTTAAATAATTCCCTACTTGTAGAATTAGTTTTAAAGTATATCTCTTCTTCCATAACTCCCTTATACAATTTGTGCTGTGTTCCCCGATCCCCTGCCTTCTTGTTCAGTCTTCTTCTTTCAAGCTCTTATGATTTCTTCCTCCTTTTTGAAATACAAGGTCACAATTTCTAATTTTTTTTTCAGTGGTATAGAGCTTTGAAGTATGCCAATACACCAACAAAAGGTGCATTGATGTACGTGGTTGGTTTTGGTTTTGTAGCATCAAATCTTGCATCTTCCTACTTGTCATCCCCACCAGGTCCTCCTACAATAGCACTAGTTAGGTCGTTTTGATTGGGAACATTGCCATGAAAATATGAGTTTAAACCAGGTCTTCCTAATATTTAGTTTGAACTTGGATTATACATATTTTTCTTTTCAACCTTTATAGGAAATGCATTGCTTTGTTTATCTACCTGTGTTATATATTTATGTAATGAATCTATTTGTATATTTTATTATTCTACCCGTGTTATAGATTGATTGTATTTTATCTACCTATATATCACAAATTTTTCTATCTCAAATTAATTGTGTTATCTACCTATATGATATGTTTTTGCTCATTAGTCTATCCATATCCATATCACATATTAAAAAAAAAGTTTAATCAAATCTCTAAAAAGCATAGATGTTGAGTTTAGAAAATTAAAAAACAAGGCGTCTTTTGTTCAATGGATTCGAGCAATGTTGTATCACTATTACATGGCAGAATCGACCAAACTTAGCGAATTAAGTGTAAAAATGGCTAAAAACTTAATTTTCTTTCCTACAAGTCAATTGTACAGCTATGGAAGGGAAAATACAAATCAATCAATTACAACAATTTAACGCCTAATCTAATTCCTTTGAAGATATGGATTGTGATCGTGATCACGATTCTTTTTTAACATTAAGTTGCAGCATAAAGAAAAATCCTCTGCATTTGCATAAAATACACAAAATAAATCCCTTGAAAAATACAATAATAGAAAACAACTACGGTAACACCTCTAAGGGTGCGTAGCCCACATGAATAAAAAAATGCTTCAAGCGAGCGGCTTCGTGAGTATAATGAAGCTAGTATCATCATATAATATAGTATATACTATTTAATGCACATATTAATCTATTCAACATTGCTCAAATAAAAATTTATTCGACTGAACGAATCAACACCACTCGACGTACCAAAGGAGACTTAAAGTTTGTATTTTTCATTTTAAGTATTTGGCATCTTTTATTGTCAATTCAATAAATGGCATATGTGGATAAAAATAAATAAATAAATGATAAGCACACAACCTACGTAGTCTTTCACACATCCCCTTAATCTTGACTTTTATTTTTTATAATTTATTCAATTTGGTTGTTAAAAGTTACTTTTAATCTTGACTTTTATTTTTTTATGATTTATTCAATTTGGTTGTTAAAAATAAAAAGTAACGTGCCAGAAGATAAAAATGGTTCGAAAATAATTACAAACAAATAAAGGGCATAGACCTTTTATCACCAAAAAAAAAAATAATTGTGGGCGGGAAGAGTAACAGTCGGAGTATAAACAGACACTCCGAAGAGAACGAGTGCGCTTGGGCCTTCAGCAACAGTGACTTTAGCAGTCTCGACGACTGTCTCACGAAATTCACCACCGCCGGTACGCCGCCGTGGTTGCTCTTCAGAGCACCAAAACGTCCAGACCCAAAGCCCGCCCCTTCTCTCTGACGCTCTCACCGGTTATGCGAGGCAAGGTATTAATCTCAAACTTGACAAGTATATGCTTTGTATTCTGCAATACGCCTCTTGTCTTTGGCTTTGTTTCCGTTGTGTCTCCAAACATTTTAGTATTTTTACACTCCCTCCGTTCAGAACTTCACTCGCTGTTTACATTTTGAATGCAGTCTAACTGTTCGTGAAAAGTTGCGAGTGGCAGGTGGGTTGGAGACCTTCGAGTTTCCAGTTCATTTTTTTAGATGAATTATGGTGCTGAGGTGTAGTGGGAGGCACTGAGTCTGAGGGGGAAGATGCTTAATCGGTTAAGTCGGCTGTTGCTTTTGCACTGCTGCTCCGAGGCCATGGCTATTTGTAGGTTTGGGCAATCCCGGCGATAAGTACCAAGGAACTAGGCACAATGTACTATTCCAAATTATACTTTTAGCAGCTACAATTTGAGATTTTTAGTTTTTGTGTTTGTTGTTTCGATAACAAGTTTCAGATTCTCGTTTTTTTTGTTTGAAGCAGGCGGGGTTTTAGATGATTGATGCGTTTGCTGGTTCGCAGGGCATTGCAATGAACACGGTCCAATGCAAAGCTATACTTGGGCAAGGCATGTAAATCTTCGCGGATGTTACTTTGTTTATTGTCATTTTTCATGTTTTTTTGTGAAGTTCAGGGAAGTTTGTTATTTCAGGTTTCGTTGGTGAAGTTCCCGTTTTTCTTGCAAAGCCTCAAACTTACATGAATTTGAGAGGTGAATCTGTAAATGACTGATATACTTTCTTTTAACATCTGACGGAATTATGTTATTGTAGGTACTTTTATTTGCAAAGGTTATTCATTTATCTAGCCTTGCTATTTATGTTTATTACTTCCACTGGGATTTCAGTGAATATACTGAAATGGTATTTGTTCTGTGCATTTCATTCCTTCTAGCACACTTCCAAACCCATTCGCAATTCCTTCTTGAATTTAACTGCTTCACTTTTGTATAGCTTTATAGTATTTATATATTTATTCTTTTATGTAGTTTCATGATGATATGACCTTACCGTGTGGGGTACTTTGTCTTTACCCAAATGGAGGTCATGTAGACCACAATGGGTATGATCAATTGTTTTTTGCTTTCGTGATTGAGCAATGATGAAAAGTGTCTTGACAAAAATGTTAGAACCTGCCTAGACACTGGTGTTTACGTTGGTTATAATTAAGTAGAAGAATCGTTGGTGAACTAATTGTATAGGAGCTGCATATTAGTATGGCTCTTTTGTTATTACTAGACCATCACTACTTCTACCCTGAAGAATAAAGACCATGATTATGCGGTGTAACTAGAATTATTATTGTCAAGCTTCCCTTTTTCAGGCTTATCAACCAATTAAGCACTCGTATAATTTCTGAAAATGTATTAATTTTCATCTCCCTCTTGATTTCAATTTTTCGTTTTTCTGCTTTCAAACTTAAGGAGAATATGTGGAAGACCGGTACATATCACTGGATTTTGTTTTGTTATTCAGGCTGAAGAGTGTGATCTATCACTTTCGAGGGAACAGAGAATTTCCTCAGCTAAGAATCGGTGAGTTTGAATTTCCAAATTTCATGAGTTTGAATGATCTCTTCCCAGTACTTGAAAGCATGTTGAATTTCTTGCCTGGTATTGGGAGGCGCATTCTGGTCAAATGGATCCAAAAGCATTCTTGCTGCAAAAATTTAATGCAACTGCCCAAAGACGAGTGATTATATGGTGGTTGTGTATTTGTCTCAGATAACATTTCGTTTCTGTTTTTTTTGGGAACTCTCAGATAACATTTCTTACGTTCAAGACATCCATATTCTTAGTTTGTTATAGATCTTCCAGAGAGAGCAACGTTTCAATTAGACCGAATAAAAAAATAAAAAATACTGTCGTGGAATTTGAAAACTACAGAAGAGCTTAAACCCTAAACCCTAAACCACAGAAGAGCCTTATCTGAGATGAAGAGTAAGGTCCGGTTCTGGTGGCACCCTGCAGATCTTCCAACCATAATGTGGCTGCTTTGCGTCAAATTTGATGGGTCAAAGCTTGGCATGTCTTTAATGTCATCAGGCGGTAAGCTGGAAAAGTTTATCCTTAAGTAGTTCATTTTCAAGAACTTGTAGATCTTCCAACCATGATGTGGCTGCAGCCTTATCTTCCACCTTTTTAAGCTCCTCTTCCGCCTTTTCCAATTCCTTTTCAAGGGCTTTCTCACTCTCTTCAGTTAAGGATACAAGTTTCAGAGATGCTAGATACTCTGGATTGTCTTCGAAACCTTGATGTTTTATATATTTCACCAAATCATCTTTCTTCTGCATGTTGTCCTTTGATAGAATGATGTTTCCCTGACGGTATCTCTTAACAAAATCAAGCTCCGTTCTCGCTTTCAAAGCCTTTTCGGCGTGCTTCTCTTGAAGATTTGTCTGCATGCATGATAGAAAATCAGTTAACAGATAGCAAAACATCAATTCTCACCAATCTGGTCTCATATCATTCAATTCCAAAAATGAACTCACCAATCTGTTCTTGTATTTTTCAATTCCATATTTATAAAATTCCTGAAGAACTGCAGTCACGATATAAAATTAAAATCAGGTTATATACGTTTTTACAGCAAATACAAAATAATAATAGTAATAATAATGTTATGTCATACTCTGTTTTGGAGTGCTATAGAGCTTAAGCCAGCCGTCTTCGTCAAACAAGACCATGTTCGAAGTCTTTATTTTCTTTCCAAGTTTGAACTTTTTTTCCAAACCCTCTTGCTCGGCTTCCCTAAGTTGTTTACCAGACAGCTTGACACGGATGTCTATTGGACTCGTATCATCTCCGTATTTTTTGTACCCCTGGAGCATGTATTACTGTTTTATTAGAAATTGAAAATAATCATAAAATGACAAACCAAAATTTGATGTTAACTTTTGTACAGGAAAATTTTACCTTAATGAAAGGATCTTTGGCCTCTGCGTCTGCGTTGTGTTCGGCCACTGAATTAAGAAATTTCAAATACTTGTCCGTCCACTTATGGATTGGCAACTCTGTAATCTTTAACATTCCGTTGCTTTCTTGTATGCACCCGTAAGAGGTGTAGTCGCGGTCACCCGATTGGCTACCCTCAATCCTTCCACGAAAACCTTTATACCACGGGCACATTTCCACCGGCAGTTTTTCCATGTTCCTTTCGTAGGCAATTAAATGCATCATGTTCTTGATGATGTGTATTGGGTGGTAATTGGGGACATTGGTACTCCACCCAACTCCAATTCCTTCACAACCATTCACAAGGACCATGGGTATTATTGGAAAATACCTACATGGCAAACAAAAAAATCATCCCAAAGAAAACAATTTCAATAATTTACCACCAAAACTTTTAAAGAAGGAAAGAAGAGTAATGTTAGTAAAAATATTGAAACAACCTACGTACCTTCCAATTTTAACTTCTTCTTTGCCTCGTTCATCTGAGCTTTCATCATCAAGGAAAATCAATCTTGTAATACGAGAAAGCTCAATATGTAGATAACGAGGTGCTGATTGGTCTTCACCCCCCTAAAAGTAGAAAGGAAAAAGGAACATATGTGTGTAAAACAAAAGATTGTCATGGAATTTAAGAGTTACATTACGCATGATGAACGTCATTCAAGCTTGTTCAATAAGTGACATTTTTACCTGGCCTCGTGTTCCATAATTGCCATGGGGAATAAAGAGATTGACATTGTTGCTTCCCACATAATTTCGAGTCATTCCCATAATTATGCTGGCGACATTACTTGAACTATGGTGATCGACAAACTTAGAAAACGTTTCCAATTTTGTTATTCCAATTAACTTATTCTTCAAAGCGCAGAACAAAATTTTCCTTTGACCAGGTTTCAATCCATCAGCTATTGATGGAATTGTCCTTTTCAAAGCAGCAATGCAATACTTAATATACTTCTTGTTAAAAAAGTCAGTATAGTTTTTATGCGTCTCCTCATCCTCATCGTCGTGATTTTCCTCATCCTCATCCTCATCATTAACTTGGTTACTGCACTGCTCCTCCAGCTCCAGACAAATATAGTTGTTAAGCCACTCTTTCCTATCGTCAACTCTTTTCTTATTAAAGACAAGATCAATCGCCTCATCAGCTCCATCATCCCAGATAAAGTATTTCCTATGCTTCTCAAGATTTCGAAAAAAGTCTTTCCCTTCTTCCTCTGGGGAGAATGTTCCCAAACCCTAAAGGACATGATACAAGAACAAACTATTTAGGACTATGCATCGCACAATCCCTAGAATAAATTGAAGACACAAATTAATTCGTACCTTGTAGCGCTTAGTGGACCAGTCACGAGCGGTGTTGTCCTGTGTCTTCTTCCACTCCTCATGCCGTTTGGTAGAATAAAAATATTTTTGATCATGTTCCTTAGTCACCTGTACAAATTCTAATACAAGTTATAGATGCCCTTGACAACCTTCCATTGATCGATCAAATTTATTAGGCAAACAAGTTAAATTATGTAAACTAACCTTGATACAAGGAGTTATAAACTCGGCCAAAAACCCCTCAATTTTAAGAAGTGAGGGGCAAAAGCAATGGAAAAGGTTAATCAAAAGTCCTTTGATGTGGAAACCATCATCATCCTACACAAGTACATACATTAAGCTTCCTCTTAGCAGTCATCAAGATAAACCATACGTATTGAAAATTTGAAGTTGTCGTATACAATATAAACGGTAAGCAGAAACAATCAAACAACAATAACAAAACCTTATCGCACTAATAAGTGGGTACAATATAAACGGTAAGCAATAATAAAAAAAAACTATGAAAATTAAGGCATCTAACCTGGTCTGTCATAATCATCACTTTGCCATAGCGTAATGGATAAGTGTAATTCTCACCCTCAGAGATTTTATACTTCTGTATCCCCATACTTTTGATGATGTTGTCAGTTATCTTACTGTCTTTGCTATTTTCTCTTACATTGAGCAATTTACCTTGCAACCTAAACACACCAAAAGTGTCCCGACCCAGAATACCGAGCCCTGTCGTCTGTTTTTGAATTTGGCTCGTCCAAGTTAGTATACCATACAACGGGAACCAAATAAAATAAACTATCTTGTTGACTGTACAAAAATTTACAAAATAGATGACTTACTGCAAGTGACTCAGCTGAATTTCCTTCTACGATAATCAAGGTGCAATCTTTAGAGTGTTCCCCCCCCGGCAAGATATGCATCCTTCAAGTTTTCTACCTTAATATTTTCTTCTTCTTCATACATGCCAAAACGGCTCTTCAAAATTTTGACAATCGGCGAGTCTGCCACTAAAAAATAATATGAATGTGAGAATCAAGGTTAGAGTATTCCAATTTACTGTACTAGTTGAACTTGAATCATTCATTGCATTACTTGTATGTATATATATACCTTCCTTTAAGAAATCTTCTGAAAGTTCAAATGTTTTTGTAAATGCTCTTGTATGGCGCGGGTGATCAAAAGTATCTTTTGCTGGGAGATTAAACACAGGATTGCGAAATTTAACGTTCAAAAAAATCCATAAATGATTCTTCACAACATCTGAATCTTGGTTTGGATTCTCTTCCTCATCTGAATTTAGGTTTTGATTCTCATTCTCATTCTTATTCTCATTCTCATCTGAATTTAGGGTTGAATTCTCGTCCTTTTCTTTGATAGTTTCGAAAAGACGTTTTGCGATCGCATTGCTAATGACATCAACATTATCTCCACCGTGGCTTGTATTGACTAAATTGACAAAACTGACCTGTAGTGAAATAAAATCCGACAACATGAGACTCACAATTCAAATGCACAAAACAGTCGCATATATTAGGGCTCTCATATGTAATAAACCTGTTGGAATTGTCCGTTGCTCAGAGTCACACAGATCTCCATGTCATCACTAATTTTCATGTTTATTCTGGCAAATTGAGTAGATTGAGTTAAAAAAACTTTCTAAATAATTATAAGAAAAAAGAAGAAGATAAATTTAGAACCAAAAGTTTCAAATAAACAATAACCTTGGAATGTTGACAAAATGAAAAGCTGTAGGTTTAAAGTATAGATCAACATATGTAGAGAATGATATTGTGCCGACATCCCTTCCATTTAGCTTAACCTCCACCGTTTCTCCGAGGCATCCAGCTATGTCAATCACTCGTTTCTTTATCAAACCAACAATGTCACCGTTAAGGCTTGTCATGTTATATGTTGCCAAATCTGGTTTCAATAGTATTCTCACCCACAGTTCCTTTGATTTGTGATCGCTGGAGTCAGTTTGCGGGTTCTTATTGTCTCTAGAGAATACCTGAAATTTGTAACAATCAAATTATTGAACGCGTGTGCTCAATCGATGGCCGCCACAATTACAACACATTTAACATATCAAACTTTTTACCTTCTTATGCAATTTATTTCCGTCAGCCTTTGACACTATGATTTCTGTGCAATAAGGAACAAACTTCTTTGACAATTCGAGCTCTTTGCATAAATTACTAAACTTCTCGTGGCTCTTATTGGCAAAGCAAATAGTTATGGCATCATCAACCTTCCCTATATCAACTTCCAGTTTGTTTTTAATCCTCAACGCGACATCCGTCAACATGTCGTTTAACATCCAGTAGAGGCCAAGGGCGTACCTTACTGGACGTTCAACCATCTCCTCATTATCGTACACCCATAAAGTTTGGGTCTTCCAGTCTCCAAACCCATAGTCTCTCTCGTTTGTTGTTCTTGACATTCCTCTTGTTCGTTTTTATACTAAGATATCGTCTTCTTTCTTGAACAAATGAAGCAACAAAATCGAAAAAGGTTTGAAATTTCCAAAGTTTTTTGCTGTGTGATATTTGAGAGAATCAAACGTACGTAGATGTGCTTGGGCTGGTGTGTTTGTTAGGTAGATGTACTCCCATATTTATATGCAAACACTTACCCAAGAAGAAGTAATAGATTTCCTGATTTCTTTGAATACACTCTCAAGTACTTCCCTTTTTTTTTTTATGGGAAAGTCACGACATTAATTGTTTGATCAAAAGGTCAAAAGAGTTCAAGTCTTTCCTGTTTCAAACTGCTAAAATCTTACCAATTTTGTACTTACATGTTTTATTTCCTTTTCAATATTAAATCCTATTAGGTATCTCAGAAAGTAATTACTAGCCTCACATCGATCTAGATTCAAGTCTTTCATGTTTTATTCAACTAAACGAATCAACACCACTCGACGTACCAAAGAAGAGCTAAGTTTTTATTTTTCATTTAAAGTATTTGACATCTTTTATTGTCAATTCAATAAAGGGCATATGTATTCAACAAAAAATAATTAAATGATAAGCACACAACCTACGTAGTCTTTCACACATCCCTTAATCTTGACTTTTATATTTTATAATTTATTCAATTTGGTTGTTAAAAATAAAAAGTAACGTGCCAGAAGATAAAAATGGTTCGAAAATAATTTTACAAACAAATAAAGGGCATAGACCTTTTATCACCAAAAAAAAAAAAAATTGTGGGCGGGAAGAGTAACAGTCGGAGTATAAACAGACACTCCGAAGAGAACGAGTGCGCTTGGGCCTTCATCAACCGTGACTTTAGCAGTCTCGACGACTGTCTCACGAAATTCACCACCGCCGGTACGCCAGCCCGCCCCTTCTCTCTGACGCTCTCACCGGTTATGCGAGGCAAGGTATTAATCTCAAACTTGACAAGTATATGCTTTGTATTCTGCAATACGCCTTTTGTCTTTGGCTTTGTTTCCGTTGTGTCTCCAAACATTTTAGTATTTTTACACTCCCTCCGTTCAGAACTTCACTCGCTGTTTACATTTTGAATGCAGTCTAACTGTTCGTGAAAAGTTGCGAGTGGCAGGTGGGTTGGAGACTTTCGAGTTTCCAGTTCATTTTTTTAGATGAATTATGGTGCTGAGGTGTAGTGGGAGGCACTGAGTCTGAGGGGGAAGCTGCTTAATCGGTTAAGTCGGCTGTTGCTTTTGCACTGCTGCTCCGAGGCCATGGCTATTTGTAGGTTTGGGCAATCCCGGCGATAAGTACCAAGGAACTAGGCACAATGTACTATTCCAGATTATACTTTTAGTGGCTACAATTTGAGATTTTTAGTTTTAGTTTTTGTGTTTGTTGTTTCGATAACAAGTTTCAGATTCTCGTTTTTTTTTGTTTGAAGCAGGCGGGGTTTTAGATGATTGATGCGTTTGCTGGTTCGCAGGGCATTGCAATGAACACGGTCCAATGCAAAGCTATACTTGGGCAAGGCATGTAAATCTTTGCGTATGTTACTTTGTTTATTGTCATTTTTCATGTTTGTTTGTGAAGTTCAGGGAAGTTTGTTATTTCAGGTTTCGTGGGTGAAGTTCTGGTTTTTCTTGCAAAGCCTCAAACTTAAATGAATTTGAGAGATGAATCTGCAAGTGACTGATGTACTTAATTATGTTCTTGTACTTCTATTTGGAAAGGTTATTCATTTATCTAGCCTTGCTATTTATGTTTATTACTTCCACTGGGATTTCAATGAATATACTGAGATGGTATTTGTTCTGTGCATTTCATTCTTTCTAGCACACTTCCAAAGCCATTTGCAATTCATTAACTGCTTCACTTTTGTATGTTAGAGGCTTGGAGCTATTAATGCTACTGGTTATGTAACTAATGTGACTAGAAGATATATCAGTGCATGGTTTAACTTGTACCTCTCTTTTGTTAAACTACAGACAGGACCCCTTGCTGCTTATTATAAGCTATCTCTCAATCGTGTGCTTGTGGTACTTTCTTCTTCTGGCTTTAAGTTTTTTTTGTACGCAGATAAGGCTTCGGAATTGAGAAGCGAGCTTGACTTTGTTAAAAGATATCGTGATGGAAACATCATTCTATCAGATGACAACATGCAAAAGAAAGATGATTTGTTGAAATATCTAAAAGGTCAAGGTTTCAAAGACAATACGGAGTATCTAGCATCCCTGAAACTTGTATCCTTAACGATAGAGAGTGAGAAAGCCCTTCAAACAGATTTGGAAAGGGTCAAAGAGGAGTTTACAAAGGTGGTAAAAAAACCTGCAGCAACAGTATGGTTGGAAGATCTAGAAGTTCTTGAAAATGAACTACTTAAGGATAAATATTTTCAGCTTACCGCCTGATGACAATAAAGACGTGCCAACCCTTGACCCATCAAATTTAACACTTAGCGGCATTGACAGGGTTTAAGCTCTTGTGTGGTTTTCGAAAGCTTAGATCAACAAGGCAAAGAAGTTAAACCTGGAAGGTACGTAGTTTGTTTGAATATTTTTACTAACATTACTCTTCTTTCCTTCTTTAAAAGTTTAGGTGGTAAATTATTGAATTGTTTTCTTTGGGATGATTTTTTTGTTTGCCATGTAGGTGTTCTCCAGTAATACCCATGGTCCTTGTTAATGTTTGTGAAGGAATTGGAGTTGGGTGGTATACCATTGTCCCCAATTACCCCCCGATACACATCATCAAGAACATAATACATTTAATTGATTCCAAAGGGAATGTAGACAAATTGCCAGTGGAAATGCGCCCGTGGTATAAAGGTTTTCATGGAAGGATAGAGGGTAGCCAGTCCAGCGATGGCGACTACACCTCTTACGGGTGCATACAAGAAAGCAACGGGATGTTAAAGATTACGGAGTTACCAATCCGTAAGTGGACAGACAAGTATTTGAAATTTCTTAATTCAGTCGCCGAACACAATGCAGACGCCAAAGATCCTTTCATTAAGGTAAAATTTTCCAGTATAAAAAGTTAACATCAAATTTGGTTTGTAATTTGTAGTTATTTTCAGTTTCGAATAAAACAGTAATACATGCTCCAGGGTTACAAAAAATACGGAGATGATACGAGTCCAATAGACATCCGTGTCAAGCTGTCGGGTAAACAACTTAGGGAAGCCAAGCAAGAGGGTTTGAAAAAAAAGTTCAAACTTGAAAAGAAACTAAAGACTTCAAACATGGTCTTGTTTCAAAAAGACGACTGCCTGAAGCTCTATCGTACCCCACAACAGAGTATGATTTAACATCACTATTATTATTATTTTGTGCTTCTTGTAAAAATATATAACCTGTCTTTGGCTTTGTTTCCGTTGTGTCTCCAAACATTTTAGTATTTTTACACTCCCTCCGTTCAGAACTTCACTCGCTGTTTACATTTTGAATGCAGTCTAACTGTTCGTGAAAAGTTGCGAGTGGCAGGTGGGTTGGAGACTTTCGAGTTTCCAGTTCATTTTTTTAGATGAATTATGTTGCTGAGGTGTAGTGGGAGGCACTGAGTCTGAGGGGGAAGGTGCTTAATCGGTTAAGTCGGCTGTTGCTTTTGCACTGCTGCTCCAAGGCCATGGCTATTTGTAGGTTTGGGCAATCCCGGCGATAAGTACGAAGGAACTAGGCAGGCACAATGTACTATTCTACAGATTATACATTTAGTGGCCACAATTTGAGATTTTTAGTCTTCGTGTTTGTTGTTTCGATAACAAGTTTCAGATTCTCGTTTTTTGTTTGAAGCAGGCGGGGTTTTAGATGATTGATGCTTTTGCTGGTGCATTGCAATGAACACGGTCCAATGCAAAGCTATACTTGGGCAAGGCATGTAAATCTTCGCGGATGTTGCTTTGTTTATTGTCATTTTTCATGTTTGTTTGTGAAGTTCAGGGAAGTTTGTTATTTCAGGTTTCGTTGGTGAAGTTCCCGTTTTTCTTGCAAAGCCTCAAACTTACATGAATTTGAGAGGTGAATCTGTAAATGATTGATATACTTTCTTTTAACATCTGACGGAATTATGTTATTGTAGGTACTTCTATTTGCAAAGGTTATTCATTTATCTAGCCTTGCTATTTATGTTTATTACTTCCACTGGGATTTCAATGAATATACTGAAATGGTATTTGTTCTGTGCATTTCATTCCTTCTAGCACACTTCCAAACCCATTCGCAATTCCTTCTTGAATTTAACTGCTTCACTTTTGTATGTTAGAGCCTTAGAGCTATTAATGCTACAGGTTATGTAACTAATGTGACCAGAAGAGATATCAGTGCATGGTTTAACTTATACCTCTCTTTTGTTAAACTACAGACAGGACCCCTTGCTGCTTATTTAAGCTATCTCTCAATCTTGTGCTTGTGGTACTTTCTTCTTCTGGCTTTAAGTTTTTTTGTACGTAGAGCATCACTTATTCTTTTATGTAGTTTCATGATGATATGACCTTACCGTGTGGCGTACTTGGTCTTTACCCTATGGAGGTCATGTATACCACAATGGGTATGATCAATTTTTTTTACTTTCGAGTTTTAAGCAGTTATGCATCTATGTGATTAAGCAATGATGAAAAGTGTCTTGCCAAAAATGTTCGAACCTGCTTAGACACTGGTGTTTACATTGGTTATAATTAAGTAGAAGAATCGTTGGTGAACTAATTATATAGGAGCTGCATAGTAGGATGGCTCTTTTGTTATTACTAGACCATCACTACTTCTACCCTGAAGAATAAAGACCATGATTATGCGGTGTTACCAGAATTATTATGGTCAAGCTTCCCTTTTTCAGGCTTATCAACTAATTAAGCACTTGTATAATTACTGAAAATGTATTAATTTTCATCTCCATCTTGCATGGCATTTCAATTTTGCGTTTTTCTGCTTTCAAACTTAAGGAGAATATGTGGAAGACCGGTACATATCACTGGATTTTGTTTTGTTATTCAGGCTTCAGGCTGAAGAGTGTGATCTATCACTTTCGAGGGAACGGAGAATTTCCTCGGCCAGTTTGAATTTCCAAATTTCATGAGTTTGAATGATCTCTTCCCAGTACTTGAAAGCATGTTGAATATCTTGCCAGGTATCGGGACGCCTCTTGGTCAAATGGATCCAAAAGCATTCTTGCTGCAAAAATTTAATGCAACAGCTCAAAGACGAGTGATTATATGGTGGTGGTGTTTTTGTCTCAAATAACATTTCTTACGTTCAAGACACCCATATTCTTAGTTTGTTTCTCCGACTGTATAACAACAATCACCAGATGGCTTAAAATTTATAAAAAGTATATTTTGAATGATTCTACCACCGTTTGCTTGTTATTTACCGATTCAATTGTGGATAAGACGTTAATTAAGGAGGTGGTACTAGTATTGATGGTGCGCCTCTTTGACTAGATTGATTCTGCTCTGAGTTGAAGCATCTCGCACTTTCTAAAGGTTTCTCAGAAGTGCGAGATGCTTCAACTCGGAGCAGAAATCCAAGCACTTGAGATTAGAAACATTGCCAACATGAATTTATACAGTAGTGTTTGTAAATGAGTAAATGGTTTGCTTTCGGGATAACTCTTGGGTTGTGATTGCATCCAAGTATTATCCTTTGTTTTGAGATGATTTTTTTGTACTATAAATGTGACCCATCAGCTTTAAATTTCATCCGTGAAGGTAGAGAAACTTGATCTCAGATCCATCATTTCTCAAAGTTTTGCTGGGGAGTGGGAAGCAGCAAGTCTCAGCGTCTCTGTCTCATGATTGGGGGTTGGGATCAGGTGTGTATGCGGTGCATGATTTAATCGTGAACAGAGAAAAATCCAGATCGTTGATTATGCGAAGACTTGAGAGTGGCACTGGGTGGTTATAATTTTTATTTAAAATTTTCTTCTGAAAAAATAATATAGAAAATAAAAGAAAAAGGTTGCTGAGTGCTCTCCGGGTCCCACCTTGAACCATCCTCGCTGTCCTTTGCTGCTTCACTTCATGATGCGAACTCCCACACTCCCACGCGCATTCAACTAAGGTTAGTCTAAAACTCTCCCACGCGCATTCAACTAAGGTTAGTCTAAAACTCTCCCACGCGCATTCAACTAAGGTTAGTGTGAAATTATAAACAAGAAAGCAAAAGGTTGTATGTTAGTAAGTAATTAAGATGATTAACTCATGCATTCGAGGTATTCTGTTTAAAAAGTGAATAAATTGATTGAAATCAATGACTGAAAGTCGTCATATAAGTTCACAAGTCACTATTATTTTTCATAATTCAACTAAAAAAATTATAAATATAAAAACTATGCAAAACTATTAGATATACATTAAATGTAAGAACTCCAATACTGTGAAACAATAAAAGTAAAAACATTGTGAGTGCACTAAATTGAGAATAAATTTTTAAACTAAATTTTGTAAATAGTTGTTAATAATTTAATTATTACTTAACTGTTGTTGATTAACATTCTTATTTTCTATTAATGAAATATCATTTGTTTAAAAATTGAGTAAATTGTAGCAATGGTCCCTGAACTTTACTTAAATTGGAGCAATGGTCCCTCAACTAAAAATCCATTACCATTGGTCCCTCAACTTATCAAAATGTGTAGCTATAGTCCTTTTCATTAATTTCTTCAAAATTTTGTCAAAATATGTTATGTTGGAATAACCATTTATTTAAGGGAGCTTTAATGAAAAGGGTTTGAGCTAAGTTTAGTTCAACCAAAAACCATCATATATTATTATTTAACCAAAAGGGCTTCATATTTAATCATAAGGACACAACTAATCTATGTTAGACCTCACAAACATTGAAAACACATGGGCTGAATTAAAAGCCCAAAACGGAATAATTTTTTTTCCAATTCTTACCCCTAACGGAACCATTCCGTCAGCCAATTCTGGTAAAAAAACTGTACAACATTTCAAGTGAACAAAAGAACAGAAAAAGCAAATATTACAGTTGCTTAATTAAATCCCAGCTCGCTCGCCGTCGCAGTCTCCCACCGCGCTCGATTTGCTGCGATTTGGCTAGAAAATAAATCCCCTGAATCTTCCAGTCGATCTCGTCTGCTTGTTCTAGGTTCGGTCAGATCTTTGTCTCTTTGCTGCAGACTATTATTTATTTAATTAAATCCCGCTATTTGTTCGATTTGATTCTGATTCCTTTAGATGTTAGTTTCCTGAAAGTTTTTGAAAATTTTATGGTTTTTTGTTTGTTCGTTTATGGATGAATTGATGGACTGGGTAGTGGTAATTGTTTGATATTTGTGATTAGATCGATTTCTGTGTGAATTGCTTGTGGGTTTTAGATCACTTCCATGAAACCCGTTCCCTTGAAGCAATAGTAATAGTTGTTGCGTTTTGAAAGTTTGTCCCTCAATTTGTTCTAGTTAATTGTGGAATTTTTGGAGCAACTATATTTTGCCATATATTAAGCAATTGGTTGAATTTTTTTAATTTTGAACAGAGGGTCTCTTTGCTAATCTAATCTACGACCCAATGATGTGCATCTTCCTTTATTTCTAAACTAAAAGCAAAAGTTGTATATATAAATTGCATTGGATTTTCAACATGTTGTTTGTTATTTCTTTGTCATTGTTGATTAGCTTTCTACATGCTTAACCTCTATTAAGTAAACAGTTGGATACAAGTGATTTCATGTTTTGTATTAGAATGGTCGCCAAGTAAAAAAATGTCGAGGCATGGAATCTCTTGAAGCAATGACAAAAGGGAGTGATCAGAGGTACTTGGGCAATACAGCTAAGCTGGAAATTGTACAGGGGGTAGTTAGGGCAGTTGCAGACAAAGGTTCTATTTTGAAGTTCATACCATACACAGTGCAAGCTGTGAAGCAAGGTTTCCAAGATTTTTGGTGCTTCTTCATTGCAGTCTGCTCATGACCTCTTAAAATGGAACAGATATCAAACGGAGAAATACTTTGCCGTGTGTTTTCTTTTCTTTCAGAAATAGTGTTGGTTATTTTGGTCAAATTGCATGCTGAAGAGGAATCCAGCTCATATCACATAGATATCAAACAGAGAAATACTTTGCCCTGTGCTTTCTACATGCTTAACCTCTATTAAGTAAACAGTTGGTCAAATTGCAGTCTGCTCATGAAAATCCAGCTCATATTACACAAAAAATCAATTCATGAAAATCTAGAAAATTGGATTTTCTGTAAACAAGATATGTGACGTGACAAGTAAGAAACTATTATAACCCAAGATCCAATTCCTTCCTTCCAACTAAACTTAAAATTGTGACGCAATTCACTGAGACTCCCTGCAAACAAGAACAATCACCCTCCCATCCATCCTCCCTCCTATATCGTTGGTTAACCATTTCTCTCTCTCTTCTCTCTCTCTCTCTCTCTCTCTCTCTCTCTCTCTCTCTCTCTCTCTCTCTCTCTCTCTCTCTCTCTCTCTCTCTCTCTCTCGGTTTGCAATTGTTATTAATTATATATCCTAACACCAAATACATGAAAAACCAGGACTACAAGAGAATAAATAGTCTAGGAAAAGAAAAGGCAATTAGCCACTCTCACCCACAAAAACATGTCCATGTACGTTCACATAAATACTCGAAGAAAAACATTCTAAAAGTGGACTAGCTATTTAGTAACTTGAAACTTGATAAACGACTCAACATGTAATGTTAAATGGCATCCAAATCAGGTAGGAAATAATTAGTTTTTGGTTTAAGAAATAGTCAGTGTTTAGTTTACAAAATAGTTAGTGTTTGGTTTAAGAAATAGTCAGTGCTTAGTTTACAAAATAGTGATAGTACTATTACTTGGTTTAATAAATTGTCTATTTAGTTTACAAAATAGTGATAGTACTAGTGTTAGGTTTAAGAAATAATGTGTTTAGTTTACAAGGTTTTTAGTTTAAGAAATAGTCAGTGTTTAGTTTACGAAATAGTAATAGTACTAGCGTTCAGTTTAAGAAATAGTTAGTGTTCAATTTATGAAATAGTCAGTGTTCAGTTTAAGAAGCAGTGATAGTATTGGTGTTCCGTTTAAGAAATAGTTAGTGTTTAGTTTAAGAAATATTGTTCAGTTTAAAAAGTAGTCAATGTTTAGTTTAAGAAATAGTGTTCAGTTTAAGAAGCAGTCAATGTTCAATTTAAGAAATAGTCTATTTAGTTTACGAAATAGTTAGTTTTTGGTTTAAGAAATAGTCAGTATTTAGTTTACGAAATAGTCACAGTACTAGTTTACAAAATAGTGATAATACTAGTGTTTGGTTTAAGAAATAGTCAGTGCTTAGTTTACAAAATGGTGATAGTACTATTACTTGGTTTAATAAATAATCTATTTAGTTTACGAAATAGTGATAGTACTAGTGTTAGGTTTAAGAAATAATGTGTTTAGTTTACAAGGTTTTTAGTTTAAGAAATAGTCAGTGTTTAGTTTAGGAAATAGTAATAGTACTAGCGTTCAGTTTAAGAAATAGTTAGTGTTCAATTTATGAAATAGTCGGTGTTCAGTTTAAGAAGTAGTGATAGTATTAGTGTTCCGTTTAAGAAATAGTTAGTGTTTAGTTTAAGAAATATTGTTCAGTTTAAAAAGTAGTCAATGTTTAGTTTAAGAAATAGTGTTCGGTTTAAGAAGTAGTCAATGTTCAATTTAAGAAATAGTCAGTGTTTAGTTTACGAAATAGTTAGTTTTTGGTTTAAGAAATAGTCAGTATTTAGTTTACGAAATAGTCACAGTACTAGTTTACAAAATAATAGTAATAATACTAGTGTTTGGTTTAAGAAATAGTCAGTGCTTAGTTTACAAAATAGTGATAGTACTATTACTTGGTTTAATAAATAGTCTATTTAGTTTACGAAATAGTGATGGTACTAGTGTTAGGTTTAAGAAATAATGTGTTTAGTTTACAAGGTTTTTAGTTTAAGAAATAGTCAGTGTTTAGTTTACGAAATAGTAATAGTACTAGCGTTCAGTTTAAGAAATAGTTAGTGTTCAATTTATGAAATAGTCAGTGTTCAGTTTAAGAAGTAGTGATAGTATTAGTGTTCCGTTTAAGAAATAGTTAGTGTTTAGTTTAAGAAATATTGTTCAGTTTAAAAAGTAGTCAATGTTTAGTTTAAGAAATAGTGTTCGGTTTAAGAAGTATTCAATGTTTTAAGAAATAATCTATTTAGTTTACGAAATAGTTAGTTTTTGGTTTAAGAAATAGTCAGTATTTAGTTTACGAAATAGTCACAGTACTAGTTTACAAAATAGTGATAATACTAGTGTTTGGTTTAATAAATCATTTGATCTAAACTAAACTAGGGCTTGTATAGTTTAGTTGCTCATAGGCTCAAAAATAATTTGATGTAATTTCAAGAAAACTTTCCACATATTTTGAACTCGCCATCTAACTTTATTGGCGACGACCATGCATGATGTATAAGTCGGTAATAGGTCATTTCTGCATGGTTAACATGCGCTCGAACAAGAAAGCAGTACCAATTCGGGTGCTCAAGCTTAATTTGTACACTTAATTCAACACCCCTGAAGGGAAGAAACTTGTTTGTAGAAAACATATCTACTTGTTACATAATCATATGTTGTATATCCTACTAAACTTAGGAACCCCAAGGAGCTGAGAATGGCCACAAACACAAGGTTAAAGGCTTGTCTGTATAGCTTCATTTTTCCTGAAGGTCCAACGTACCCCACAAGAGTTGTTCATCATGCCGCATGAGATGCATTAGATTTGCTTTTTCCCGTTGGCTGATACCCTCGGCATCTTATAAGCCTGTTAATTGGTATATCCATCATGGTCATTCCCCCTTCCTATTCGAGCATGTGATTCTCCTCCACTGCAACATGCATTGTCAGATCAAATTCCATCAAAGTGCCAATCAAGATACACGAATTCACACAGATTTCAGCACCAACTTTTTCATCATTTTCTCATCAACCAAACAGAAAAATAAAAAAAAATAAAAATATTCGATTTGGTGTAGTTTCCTAGTGCTAAAGCGTTAAAGCACTCACCGCTGGAGGACCATACAACGATGAATGGAAGAGATGGAAAATATACAGAACCAAAGTCTCCAAAGTATATGTCGAAAACAAACCATGATAGGCACCAAGAACATCTTTTCAAACGCAGTAGCATACTAATTAAAGCAAGGTGCTATTATGAGAGCCCATCATGGATATGTTTAGGGAAGCTAAATAACGAGGGACATACATCCAAAAAATCACAAACCACTCAGATCACCAAAAACATATCATAAGATTAAAGTAAAACTATATGAAAAGAACAGAAGCAGGTGGAGTCACCACTCAACAGAGTACGACTAATTACATACCATTCAAGGTTATCGGTTATAACTTATAAGGCATAAGTCAGCATATACTTTTAATAGAAGACTTGAAATACCAGTTTCATTAGACAACTCAGAGCTTCCCAAAAAGAATCCGATTATACGAATGAAATCTGGTAAATCATTTAATTCATTTGTGAGAAATTGAACTTCATTTTCAATTTAGCTCTGTGTGAATGACTGCACATGAAAGCATAGTGTACATAGCCCTCCAAACTATGTGAAGGAAATATCGACCCCAATATTTTGTACAAGGCACTTTACAAGCTTGACCTGCCACAACAAAAACAAATAGTCTTACAGAGGAAAATCAAAAGTTTGTTAACTAGAATCAAAATAATGACTAATGACATAGACAAGCACGTAATAATTTAATTAAAGGGAAATGCAAGTTACACAACATCAACTCAGCACAAAAACTTTACTAGACATAGATGGCAGCGTCAACACTAAGTTGTAACTTATACCTATCATCAATCTAATAAAGTTAAGAGGTAAAAGCTAAAAACCTTAGCCCGAATCAACTAGACATCTTTCACCATAAACTCAGCAGCCATATTTTGATATTCCCTTTCAAGGACAGTGCAAATGTCATTGGCCAGCGCCTCCTCAACATTCACAACACCGAAAGCAATCAAATCAATATCTCCATCAGGAAGATAGGTCTTTAGAGGTACAGCTAAATCGTGGCAAGGTAATTAAATGAATACTGTCATTTATCATTTTCGCTAATGCGAAAGGTCAATAGAAATAGATAAATAGCAGCAAGGAAAGTTTCAGCTCCAGACAACAAATTAACCTAAACAAACAGTTTATATGCAGAATTCAAGCTTACCCAAATAAATGTTCATGCCCAATTCACAAACTATACATACAAATATATCATACATTGGTTGTTTTGTAGCTCAATAAGCACAACAATTTGAATAAAAAAGTCAGACAAAGATTTATACCTCTTTTTTCTGAGATTTGTGCTTGGATCCATGTCAATATTAGATGCATGCACATAAATATCGAAGTCTAGAATAATATGAAACAAAGAAAAGAGATGATACATAGTAACAACTCCAAACTGACACAATCGAGACGGTGAATTTCCGATCGGAGCTGTAGTCATTCGTCAGAAGATCTGCAACAGAAGCCAAAATGCAAGGTTTTAGATGCTAATTACGCGCAATCGAGAGACGAAAAAACAGTAGAAATATCGCAGAGAGACGAGAGAGAGAGAGAGAGAGAGAGAGAGAGAGAGAGAGAGAGAGAGAGAGTGAAAATGATTGCTTAACCTTGCTTTTTTGCCGATGGTTAAAAGTCCAGGTCCCTTGCTCATCTTTATTGGGAAATTTTGGGAGAGAGAATCGGTGATCTTCTGCGATTTTGACAGAGATGAAGACGACTCAAAATTAAGTTTGGGGCCGGATATGTGGGTTTTGCATACTGGCAAAGACAGAGATGGAGCTGCGATGCGAAATTAGAAAGAAAAATGAAAGGTTTTGAATGCCAAGAAGAAATGGGGGAGACGGACAATAGCAGAGAGATCCTCCATAAATGAAGGGAGATATTAGACGGACGTAGGCTTTGCCGTCAGGGACAAAATCGGAAATTTAATATTTGGGCCATTTTAATTGGGCTGGTTTAGTATTGGACTTTGTCCTAACCATTAAATAAAGTTAGTACATGGTTTTTGGTTAACATTTAAAGTTTTCAAACCCTTTTCATTAGTTTTCCTTTTATTTAATTAGGGTCCCTCAACTCATCAAAGTGTGTAATTATGGTCATTTTTGTCAACTACGTAAAAAAATTTGTCAAAACGAGTTATATTTGAAGGACCATAGCTACAATTGGGATAAAGTTAAGGGACCATTTCTCTAGTTTGATTAAAATTGAGGGACCAAAGGTAATGGATTTTTAGTTGAGGGACCATAACTGCACGTTTTAATGAGTTGAAGGACCAATGGTAATGAATTTTTAGTTGAAGGACCATTGCTCCAATTTGAGTAAAGTTTAGGGACCATAGCTACAATTTACTCTTAAAAATTTGGTCTACTTAATATTATTATTTTTTAGGAAGGTGATCATGTGGTGAATTCTGGTTTGGTATTGAAATTATTTTATAAAAAAAAATGGGTATAAAAAAGTGAATTCAAAAAGATATTTGGTAAACATATAAAAACAACTTATTTTCACAATTGTGGGTAAAAAAAAACTAATAACGTGAAACAGCAAAAATAAACTTATTATCACAGCACAGCAAAAGTAATTTTTTTCAAAGTATAGTAATATCAAACCAGCCCTGAGACTCATCGAGTCATTCATTCAATTCAACAACAAATCACTCAGCTACCCCCTCAACACGTGAGGCTGAATTAACCAAAAGCAGCAGACAGTGATATTTGTGTTTGTGAGAGAGGTGGAGCCAAAGAATATCACTCAGCTACCCCCTCAATTAATATAGCACTAATAATGCGAGTGGTGTTAAAGCAATAGAGTGGTGCGTGAGAGTATATTTAGCTGCCTATTAGAATATTATTACAACAAAACCCAGCACTGTGTGTCACGGCTCCCCATCTCTCATCTCTCTCTCTCTCTCTATCTCTCATCCCCCATCCTCACTACCAAACAAATTAAAGATGCAAAACTAAAATCCACCTACACACAAACGCAGCATCTTAAAACCTCACAGAAGTAAGAAAAACAAGATCAGGTTCTCAAGATATCAAATCTCCATTTGTATTCGCATTCGATCCACTCCTACTCAGAAGAAAAAAAAACACTGAAAAAGCTTTACAATGAGGAACCCATCGTCTTCGTCGAAAGCAGCGGCAGCAGCAAGTGCTAAGATGCAAACGACGATAACAGCGTCGTCCTCGTCGAGCAAGGCGGCTGGGGTTGCTGGAGGGACCAAGACGCCGTGTTGCGCAAAGGTGGGTTTGAAGAGAGGGCCTTGGACTCCCGAAGAGGACGAGCTGCTGGCAAATTACATCAAGAAAGAAGGAGAGGGACGGTGGCGGACCCTTCCCAAGCGGGCTGGGTTGCTCCGCTGCGGTAAGAGCTGCCGCCTCCGCTGGATGAACTATCTCCGCCTTCTGTCAAGCGCGGCCAGATCGCCCCCGATGAAGAAGATCTCATCCTTCGCCTCCATCGCCTTCTGGGCAATCGGTACATTTACACACACACAACATTTGTTAGATTTCAGAGAAACTAATTTGTCGCGATTTTCTTCGACAAACAATATCCATATATCCACCCAACAAATTTATCACCATTTTATTACTAGTTTGGGTTTAGGGTTTCACTGTTGATATCCATTATATAAAATTTAGGGTTTAATTAATTTGGATGTGTGCAGGTGGTCTTTGATAGCTGGGAGGATTCCAGGCCGTACGGACAATGAGATAAAGAACTACTGGAACACACACCTGAGCAAGAAGCTGATAAGCCAAGGCATAGATCCCAGAACCCACAAGCCTCTCAATCCAGATCATCACTCTGCTGCTGATGATGCTGACGTGGACAACACAAACAAATCAACTGCTGTTGCTTCTTCTTCCAAAGCCAATGATCGGTTCTCAAACCCTAACCCTAGTCCCCCTTCTGATCGTCTTGTCCATAAAGAAGGGGATCCAAATAACAGCCGTAATGATGGAAACATCGCAATTGCTGATCATGATCTGGGCACTATAGTCCATGGCTTTGCAAATATGATCACGTCCATCAACAATCCCGATGCTTCTTCTTCGGCCGCGGCAACGGGTACTTTGAGTTTGAGGAGCAACAACAGCCACGGTGGAGTACTACTTGCGGGAGGAGGAAATGAAGAGGACGACGTCTTCTCTTCGTTTCTGAATTCGTTGATCAATGAGGATCCATTTCCTGGACAACACCAATTGCAACAAGTACTGCAGAATGGGAATGTTAGTGCACACGCAGCTGCTGCTCGTTCCGAGAACCTTCCTTTGATTAATATGACTAGTGCTACTACGGCGCCATCAACATTTGGCTGGGAGTCTGCTGTGCTCATGTCTTCTGCTTTCATCCAAAATGATCACCAGAGGGTTAATGATCAAACGGAGTAGCAGCTAGCCACCTGTTTGATTGATCAATCTCACTGTGCATGTTGAACAAGCAATGCAGTTGCTTAATTAGTTAATTTATATGTAGAAATTAGTCCTAGCTAGGGTTTGAAATATCATATGAAATGTGATTTTGTGTGTGCTATCTCTATTCTTAATTATTCGACTACCCCAACATCGCTCTACGAATGGGGGCGTATATCAATGTATTGTCGATCACGTTTGTAATATCATCTATCTATCTATATATGTTACCGGTGTTGTAAAACAAACATAAATTTGATCAATGTTAATTAATTTGTATTTAGAAGTATATAGAGTAATTTATGCGTGAATCAATTTCATGTTTATACATCTGCCACATTTATCACTTTCCATACATATATAGGGTTTGTAACCCTGATGACAAATTGCACAAAAGAATTTAAACACTTTGCATGCATATATCCATACAGTGTAAGATGCTTAATTAAAGTTAATCTTCATGGAAGGAAATTATATATCTGTTCATTCTTTCTAAAGTGTGATATTCACCGCATGCACAAGTTCATGGAGGGGGATCGATATGTTAATTCAATGAAGAAGAAGAAGGTGCAAAATATCCCGAAAGTTCTTAAACATTGAAGCTTTCACTTTACTTTCATGGTCAATATTGGGACTTAATCTATTCTTTGATGTTTATATCTCATATATATACTAATTAGAAACAAATGATCTATGACAATCAGATATACATATATATGACATGAACATATAAAAATCTCCTTTTCTTAAATCCTAAATAAATATTGTACTAATGTTTTTTGGTATATCCGCTTTCATTTTGTGCACAAGCGTGGTAAATATTTGACATCTTTCTGAAATCTTATTACATGTAGCATATGATGCATCTGGGAGATAAAAGACTATAGTTCTACAACCATATTTTAAACAAATTGATCGTTGAGGGTAAGCATGAAAAATGAGTAAATGAAGCTAGATATGATTCCAAAATACGTTACAAGGCAAAGATCATGCGTGCATAAAAGGTTATAATCATTGTAGATATTAATAAGATGTCACATTCACAATCTAAATCATCAAAAACATTTGAGGCGATAACAAAAACATGAAACATAGTAGTGTTTATCATTTCCTTATACATGACTAGCTCCAAAAACTTAAACGGATAGGATAGGGAATATTGCAACAATGTATCAAAGTTATAGACACAACTACTGATGTAAAATGAACAAGAGAAAGAGAAAGAAAGATTAAAAAGTTCTTATAAATGAAAGATCAATGCATGGTATTAGTTAGAAATATGTTTTGGTGCAACCTTTAGTAGTGAGCACGTATTCGTGCATTCTATTAGTAGAAGGTGAATAACCGTGTAATTTGAACATAAGTACTCAAACCTATTAATACATATACACCTTAGAAGACATTAATTTTATTAAAGGCTTGAATTCTAACCGTATATATAACTTTAAACTCAAGCTAGTTATACTACGAAAAATCTGGGGTTAATTAAGCCACTGTTACTGATTCCTAAAACCACTGATAGCTATGGCCATAGGCCAATTGCCACAGGCCAGGCCACATACCAATATGAAAAGGTACTTAGCATATATAACCTTGTGATCAATTACTTTATGAATAATTCGTCAGTTTTCTATTCTGGTATGCATTTTTGTAGCCATTTGTCTATTTGAAACAGTGTGCATGTATTTTTGGGCATTAGTGTAACATCGTAATCTATCCCGTATTCATCTACGTGTTTGAGTGAAGTGGGTATTGTGAAGGTAACTGAGAGAACTAAAGATGGAAGCTATCGGAAACAAAAATGGCATTCAGAAAACACAGGTTGCGATTCTCAAAGCCTATAACATAGGGAGTTAAATATAAAGTGACAGTTAAATTGCCATGAGTGTGAGCGGTCGAGGGTATATTGATAGGCAAAGATGGTATTTGTTAAAGCAACACTCATATATATTTGAGAATTATTCTGTGGTACTGAAATATCTCTATCGTAGTAAAAATGCTAAATGCTAAATGGTTTGCAGCATGAACATTTCCAGAACAGTGTATTTTTGGGGTGTTCTAGAACATTTGGTATGCAGATTGTGTTTAGATAGAATTAGTACGCAGTATGTTAAGTCCACACACGATATATGTAGGTTCTCAGCAAACCCCAATAATCGAGAAGCTATATAATTAAGTCATCGTGCAATATTATGCAATATTATGCAATATGCATACATGTCAAGGATGAAAGTCACTTACTCGTAGCAGAACATGATATAATTCTTCAATGTGTAGACTTGATCATCTATGGAACAAGATTTTGTTGATTACTTTCAATCAGTCTCCCTCCCAACATTTCTGATGCGATCGTCGTGTGAGCTTCCTGCAGAACCATGCATGGAGAATAAAACGAAATCAGTGGAGTGTACGCCCTTGATGCATATATGCATGTTAATCATATCCTGACCGTTGGATAACATCAACATGGTCGTTCTAATTATTTAAGATAGAAGATGGCTCACACACCTGGCTAATGGCTTATTGCACCCTATCTCCCTCTATGACATCTCGTATATTTTATCATAGCTAGGACAATGCTAGGAGACTAAAATTTTAAATTAAATGATGTGTCACTAATAAAAAATAAACACGTTAATCAACACAAAGTCATAATCCAATCATTAACATTCACGTCGTGTGGTTTACAAAATTTGATTTAGAAATTGAGTAATGATAGGGAGACTAAATTTGTAATAAATTTTTTTTAGACTAAGTGACATGAAAGTTGATAATTTGATTAATACTTAAACGTTGATAAATATGTTCATTTCTTATTGATGAAACATCATTTAGTTTGTAAAATTTGTTTACAAATTTAACCTCCTAACATTACTCTTAGAAATTTGGTATTCTTAACATTACCATTTTTCATAATAGAGCAAGGACACGACATGTTCACCCCTCACCGCCTCAAGGCTTACGCCTCGTTTTCTGAGACCCTATATAACTTAACTTACATCTTCGCTTCTAAAAGCATATATTGTTTATAGATGTACCATAAATATTACAACAATTAAAATCCTAACTTTTCTTTTTGTTGATAAAAAGCCTGAATATTTTCACGAGCACCTCCTCTAAACATGTGGTCTCACAAACTTCATGTCTTTTAATATGAGCTATAAAATTAGTTGGGTTGGGTTGTGTTTGGATGAGGGACTTACAAAGTATCAAGGCATTAAGGCTAAATTAGTAAAGAACAAAACTATGAACCATTATATAAATGCTATGTTTGCGCAAGGGATTTTCAAGTTATAAGATTAAAAGCCAAATTATAAAGAAAAAGATCACAAAATGTTGGATAGGAAGGATTAGCTAATTCATTCGTGGAATATATCATTTACAAATCTCTCTTACATGTCTTTGTAATGTTCTATGGACGGTACATTTCCTAATCCATTATATCCAACATTTTGTGATCATTCTCTTTACAATTTGGCACTGGGTAAAGCGGGAGCCTTATGCACTGGGTACGACCTTTTTTCTCTTTACAATTTGGCTTTCAATCCCATGACTTGGAAATCCCTTACCCAAACTTTGCCAAAGGGTATTACAAAAGCAATCCATGAGAATTACGCACACATATATATCTTCATAATGATTATGCACTACTTTTTTAATCCTGTTTTAGTCTATTTCTTCCTTATTTAACCTATATTCCTTGGGACTAAAGTCCCTCACTCAAACACAGGGCATTTGATCCCTTTGTCGAGGCACATGCAATCATTTTATTTCTACTATCCTATAATAATTTTTGAAGAATTTAACCAGGTGGAGTTGGAGCTCCAGCAAACTGGAAGGGAAGGAAACAGAAGCCTACCTGGTATTGGGTATGTGGCCTGATTTTAACTGACATTGAATTCTAAATGGGCCGTTTAGCCCTGACAATAGTTGTTGGCTCCTAACTGTTGAGGACCATTGTGGTGTGACCCTTTTTTTTTTTCTTTTTTTTTTTTTTTTTTTTTCCACCCCACCCCACCCACACCGGGCCTCGATCCTGGGACCTAATCTACCCCACCCCTCACCCACACCCTCACCACTAGGCTATTCCTAGTGGCTTCCGTTGTGGGGTGACCTGTGTATCCCAAAATTGTTGCATCTGACCCTCCCCTTAAGGTTCAAACTACCAGTCTTCTGCGATTGGTAGATGGTTGACCTGTTGCATACCAATTCAGTAGCTTCTACTGCAACTTGTTTGACTATTTAAAACTTATGTTCTCTTAATTTCTATTTCCTCATGATATACATATACATATATATATATATCTGTGTGTGTGTGTGTATATATATATATCTAACACTCCATTGATGTCCATGTCCGTGAACATTGATACAAGCGTATCAACTACCAATCTAAGCTAAGCTAGCCATTCGTGTTTGCTCTTTAGATCCTATATCTGCATAGTCAACTATTGGGTGGGAAAGCTTCCAACCAAAAACGCGGTTTTATGATGATATTCTTTTTCATTGTTATTTACAGACTTGCAATTCAAGTGATTAAACAAATTTACTCTCACTACTCTATATTTGAGACCATTTGTTCGAGTTTTCCTTCTCAACATGGCTTGTACAAGAAACAGTTTACAAATATTAGGGTCATTTTATTTTTCTTAGCAAATTGCAGTTCCTTATCATCATTAACATGCATCAAGGTGTAATCTTAGCAAATTGCAGTTTACAAATTATTTTCTTGGGGTACTCTTCTAGGAGTAAAGGGTTAAAATTTTTATTCAAGTCAATTCCAATTCATGAAGAACATAAAAAAGGAGTATCATCTTGTTTTTGTATTAAAATTTGTGGGGTCAAAGGCGAGAGATTTTTCAGTGTGCTGGTACACAATCGGTATACCAGATGTAACAATACAATTACTTTAAATTTTAAAATTTAATATCAATCAATTGTATTATGACACTAGGTGTACGTGTTTGTATTCCTAGCACTTTGAAATTTTTTTATCAAAGGCAACAAGCTTTGAGAATTTGTCTTATGGTGGGTCATAATTTCAAATGGGTCTTAAATGGGCACAATTAATGGTGCACTTTTTTCAAGCTATAATAACATTTTTTTTTTCACAGGATAAATGGTAGAAAACAACCCAAAAATAAAAAAAATTAAAAAGTGAAAAAATAGCTCAATGCGTACTTTTATCATATGTGTGGTCGTGATATTGATTTTTTTAGTATGGAAAAATGATTCCAAAAAGGTGATAAAAATGTAATTCATATGGTAAAATGAGATTAAATATTTAGTTTCCATTCAAATATTTGGTAATAGAATGATAACATGAATTTCTTCTTATTGATAGGATTAACCAACCCTATATATGTATCCTTTTCGAACTATATTTCTTATCTAACAACGCATGGTGTGGCTTTTTCTCTTCATACATGCTAATGCAAATAAGTCTTCGAAATTAAGAAAAGCAAGGTAAATCCCACAAGAACTCTTAACCTCAAATCTTAAACTTCTACAACCACCAAAGCAAACAAGAAGGAACATAGACGATGGAATGCTTCGCAAGAGTTTTCTCGTAGCTAAAAAAAACATATAAACATGAAAAAACAGATAAAAGAGAGAAAACACGGTAGAAATTTGCTACAAATTTTGAGCCTCATTTAACTTAATGATGATATTAACGTTGTTGGGCAGGCTAGCTAACTTAGATAATAAGCAAAAGCATACCATGTCCATGCATAATCCATCCAGCTTCTCAAAAAAGCACTTAACATTCACAAACTTGAAGAAAACAAGTATCATCACAAGATGAAAGCAAAACACCATTTAAACAGAAAACAAGAAGCATAAGTTTTTCATGACTTACCGAAACATATTTGTCCTCGGAAACTGTACACGGTCTCCGTGGTTCGAGACCTCTTCGCCGAATGCATTGCTGCTCTACGAGGCTGACGCAATGATCAAATGGGGTCATGGAAATCTCAGTAACTTAAAATAAAGGTTGAAACTGGAAAAAGTGGTAAGAAAGAAACTTCGTGTTGTAGAAAGCTCTTACAATCATTTTTCTTTAAGCACCCAGTTTTTGCAGTTTTTGAGAGGGAAGTACACGCGTCTTTCAGGTGTTGCAGGCCAAAACTTGCAGCTCACTAGAGGCTAGAGCCATTGCAATGGGGGCTTATAGTTGGAATTGTATGTCTGGGATTTGACCGGTAGATTTTGTCTTGTTTACAAGAGGATTACCGGCTAGTATTTCTGAGCAAAATGTAAAACCCAACCAAACGTTCTAACCCAAAAGAAAAAGGTCAAGAGTGTTTTGTTAGACGGACCAAACTTTCTAGTCTAAATTTTTGCTGCCAAATTCTTACTTTTCCTTCTTCCATCCGCCTATCAACTCACAGTCTGTATCGCATTTTTTTTGAGATCCTACATTTTAACATGTGCTTGCAGTATTTTTGTGTACTACGTTGCAGGGATAAACCTATCTCTGCAGTTCTCAGCAGTCCGCACCAAACTGCTCGATTTGAGGATTTCGGTGCTTTAGAATTTAGTGCAATGAACTCTACACACTTGTCAAACACTTGCCTCAACATTTAATTCTAGATTCCATATGTGTACCTAACTTTCAAATATGTGCATGTGTTAACCTAACTAGGTTTTCGGCTAATGTAGCGGTTGTTAGTTTGATATACATTATTGATTCATTCTCTAACAAGTATTAAAGATTTGGTTTCATAAAGGTCCTAAACCTCCAACCCCTGCGCCCCAAATATTTCAGTTATCCTTTTAAGGGTTATACTTATTTCCATTGTGTATGTTCGTCGTTTCGATCTCCAAAGGCATAATGGGTTGGCCACAGATCTGCTGTCCCCAAAATATATGTCTCCTTCATGTCTCTTATTTAATATTACGACACCTGTCCAACACTTAACAGATAATTACCACTGTTAAATCTTTTTTTTTATTTTTGGTTCGAACGTTTAAGTCCTCTCTTATGAAGGCACCCACTGGTACCAGACCATTCCGATGGACTCATCCTCCATATCTTCCGGCCGCCTTGTTCTTCATATCATCAACAAAACAGTGTTGTGTTTATATACCAATGTGACCCCACCTACTCCTCCACACCTCACCGCCGCCAGCAAGAGCCCACAATTCAAAACGACGATTTCAATTCAGATAGCGACCACCAGCTACGAGCACACGCCACCAGGAACGTCCACTCTGCTAATCTCAACGAATTTGTCAAAACAAGTCATTGTATCTTTCAATATTTCAAATTTCAAACTCGTTTTATCTCTCCATCAATCAATTTTTCGGTTATCGTTAATCTCTCTCAAGCAACACAAATTTTCGCGAATTGGAAGGGAATAAAAAATTTTGTTATCAGAATTGACATAAAATTAAGATGCAATAAGTCAAGCAACTCAGGATGGGTTGGGTCAACTGGAAAGACTGGAAAACATTATGTTTGAATCCGAAATTGTAGAATTTGAGTTTCCAATATATATCAATTTCTGAAGGAGATGAAAACTGAAAAAGTGGTTTTGCTCTAACCCCGTGGTTGCAAACGAAGAAATAGCAGAGGAGGTTTGTTAAGGGAACTTAACAGTGTTAATTCTCTGTTAAGTGTTGGACATGTGTCGCAAAATTACCGAAGAGACACCAAGGAGACATATATTTTGGGGACAGCAGACCCGTGGCCGGGTTGGGTTTGGATGTGAGGGAGACTGTTAGCTTCATATACATTACTATCCCATTTCTTGACAATTTAAAATTTTTGGGCCTAATTGTTATTTAATAACAGTTAGGCCGAAAAATCAGAAACAATAATGTCGTGGCTTACGAATGACAACTAAATATATTTAATGTGGAATGATTTAAAAGTTAAAAAAAAATGCTGATTATAAAATGAGAAAGTAAATTAACTTTTGAACAAATTAGAGTACTATGGAACCAATTGCTGGAATACTTACAGTTTAAAGAGCAATGCTCCAAAATTGGCTTGCCTATAGAAAACTGCATGTTGTATGCTTAGAATCCGGATCCTCTTTATCAGGATTTCGAGAATTCGTGAATCATGTCCGTTTATCGCAAATCATGCGGTCAGAAATTATTTTAAATATTTTTATTTAAAATTAAATACAAACAGTACTTGACAAAAACTGACCACACGATATCAAGATTCTCACCAAAAGGATCTGGAAAAGATCCTGTTGGGTATGTTTATGCATGTACTTACATGTTAGCACCAATTCAACCGACAGTCAGAATTTTATTTTATGTTCAAAAGTCAAACATATCTAAGCAAAGGACATGGGAACCTACCATTCTACAGCTCAACATACAATTCCCACTTAGATACGGGATGCCAAAATTTGATGAAACATTCTACATTCTTACGATCTATGTTTCAACCACAAATCCAAGCACTTACCAAACTAGTTGGTTCTTTGTATTTTCTAAATTTTGATCCAATTGCCACCAATTTTAGAACCCTACTCAACAATTGTCCCCCTAACAGGTTTTAAGATGCGATATTGAGAGAGGAGAAACGGAAAATAATTTTTATATATCCTTTGAACTAGGTATTTAATTGAGCTATAAACTCGTTTCAAAGAAATTAAAAGTAAATAATTCTCAGATGTGTGCTCTGTCGACTCCAAAGTGTCATTTCATCAAAACATTTATACAAGGACAACGTTATTTGGCAAAGCTTGTAGAATTTTATATGAATAAAATAAGTACACAAGTTGACAAGTATAAACATTTCAATATTTTGTTAGACCAATCAAAAAGCATTTTAGTATTTTACTTGAAAAATACAGCTGTTGAGAGTAGGGGAAAAAAATTAAAGTTAATTTACATCCTAAAATAATAAAATTATTTTCACATTTTTTTCGCTTAAGAAAATATTTTACATTGCTCTATAAAATGGAGTGCTTCTATACCCATCCGATGTCTTATCTTTTCACCTACTGCATCACCTTTGTGGTCGATCTTGGAGATGTTTCGGATGGTGGTTGCGGTCTTGCTTCTTTCTAGTTTAATTACATTAAAATAAAAATTAATAATAAAATGTTATTTAAAGAATTTAAAATAGAATAAAAACATGTTACAAGAGAAGGATATGATTGGGTGTTGTTTAAGCGGCCAATAATTGGGATCGGATGGGGATGCCAGTGAGCAGGGTGTTGGGGGCAACGGTAGAGAAAATTTTCATTTTACGGAAATATAAGTGGTATATTACATGTTTTAATAGAAATGGTGAAAATTTTATTTTAAGTTATTAATTTTTTAGCACACATATTCCACAATTTGTATAATGACACGTGGTGTGTCATTCCGTGTAATCTCTCGCAATGGTGGGTGGGAAAAGAGCATAGGCATTGTTTTTTTGAACAAAACAAGAAAGGTATAGTTTTGTTTTCACATTCTTATGGTGAGTGAGAAAATAAAGACGATGAGAGCAAGATCTAAAATATCGATATTTCCATCGAAATTTCCGTGTTTTTGGACTACCGATATTTCCTATATCATCGATATTTTAGACCTTGATAAGAATTCTATGTGGTATTAAGTCACTCATGTATCTTACCATGTAATGTATAAAGTATAAAATATTGTACTAATTCATTATATATAAATGATTATGGTGTGTTTAAACTTCTTTAATTAATTATTACATATTTTCTACACTAATATAATCAACTTAAATCAGTTAAATTCATCATGCAATACATTTCCTTCCGATTTTTGTGATAAACTAATAGATAATTGACTAAATAAACATCATGAAAAGTTTTAATAAAAATTTCTAAGTTTTTCTTACAATTTCCGTAGTTTTTATTCAATTTTTATCGATATCGATAATATTCCAATATTTCCATTGAAATTTCTGTGTTTTTAGACTATCGATATTTCCGATATCATCAATATTTTAAATCTTGGTTGGGAGCGTATAGCAGCACTCGTAAAATAATGTCACAAAAATTGAACTTCCATATTTGACCATGCGCGCGAGCGCGCGCTCTCTCCATCGGCCCGCCCCCAATTCCGATTTCTCAAATTAGGGATTTTAAATTTGAGATGCGATTTATCAAATTCACCGAAGCCTTCAGCTTTTCCGATCCAGCTGCCCTGTAATATTCAGGTAATTGGCTTCTCTCGTTCTCTTTCACAAATCCCATTTCATACTTTTAAGCTCATCGACTAATCAAAGCTCAGAATTTTACAGAATTTTACATAATTGCAATGTAGTTTGCCATATATTTTATCTGGGTTCGGATCATAATAAAAATCCATTATTTACAACAAGCGGTAGTGTCTTTTTTCTCATAAAGATTGATTTTTTTTTTCTGGTTGAATTAATTGCAGGAAACTGAATTGAAGAAATGGGTGAGAGGAAAAGGCATAGAATTTTGATGGTCTCTGATTTTTTCTATCCCAATTTCGGTGGTGTGGAGAATCACATCTATTATCTCTCACAATGCCTTCTCAAGCTCGGTCACAAGGTCAGAACACATTGTCACTTCCACTTTCTGGGTTCAGTATCTGTGTTTCTTCTATCTTTATTTATTTTGATATAACTGAAAAGCGAAAGTTCGAATTGAAACTGCTGTTTGATTTATTTCACAATACTATCATGTTGGTTTTGCATCACATGGATGTCAGAGCTCACATCTCGGTAATGGGGGGCATTGGATGGAACTCTGTTTTGTTTAGAGTAACGATCGATGGAATGAGAGGGGGCTGGTGTCACCTTATGTATCAGATACATACTTGTTATTTTTTAATATGATCCGAACATTGTCTCTGCCAAGTGATTTGAGTTATTTAAAGTAATGAAGTTCTTTCATGATACAAGTCAGCTTCCTTTGTTTGATTAGTTGTTGACTAGTGAAATTTCATTGTTTGATTATTTAGGTGGTGGTAATGACTCATGCCTACAACAATCGTTCTGGTGTGAGATATATGACAGGTGGTCTGAAAGTGTATTATGTACCATGGAAACCATTTCTCATGCAGAATACTTTTCCCACCTTTTATGGGACACTTCCAATTGTAAGGACTATCCTTATTCGAGAAAAAATATCGCTGGTCCACGGACATCAAGCTTTCTCAACTCTTTGCCATGAGGCTTTGATGCACGCACGCACAATGGGGTACAAAGTCGTATTTACTGATCATTCACTCTATGGTTTTGCTGATGCCG